CTCTAGGCCAATACAAAGTGTAAAGTGCACCCTCAAATGCCATTGTGCCCACGCACGCATGCACTTCGAATGCTTTGCTCAAGCACCTCCGCTCTCACCTACACTTAAATTGTGCTCAATCCGGAGGATTAAAAATACCTTTTTCTTTCTATAAAATACAACAAAGGAAAACCATACAAAATCATAATATAATTTTGAAAATACACAACTATTTTTCCAAGAAAACCGATACTAACAGAAAAAAAGCTCAAATCTCATCATCTCGACCTTGAGATACATGGACGTAAAAGGAAATGGACTTCATGTCTCTGAAATAGTGCATTTTGTAATGCATTATCTAGACCATCAATTTCCAAATGTTTCATAGATCTGCTTGATCTACAGTAATTTTGAAGCTTCAAATTTATAACTAGAGGTGAAAGTAATTGTTAGGCCATCATTAAGATTTTCGATATTGAATCAATATCTTTGGACACTATTTGAATGTGCGCCTTACTTTGATTGTTTAGGGCCTCAACCTTCTACAAACCGTACCTGAATATTTGTGCAATTTTGATGGTGTTAAGAAGGTGGTGTTTTATGATCTAGGATAAAATAAAGGAAAAATATCTCCATACCTCTTATTTTTTGCTTCTATTTATCAAGATACTAAAAAATTTAAACTATTTCTTACGGCATAAAATCTCCCTTCATTTTTATCTTTCTACCCCTAGACACCATTGACTATATATATTATTGTCTTAAGTTCTTAACCATTTTGTAAAATGATTCTCTCTCTCTCTTAAAACTCCATATTTTCTCCTCTCTCTCTCTCTCTCTCAAAAAGTCTGTCTCTTTCCTCTCTCATCCTCGCTTTCAATTGTTTTAGCTTGTAAAAGACTACTCTCCTTCAGTTTTTCCAGTTTTCATGGCTGATTCCTCAACTGATAAGGCTTATCCTTCACACGAGAAACAAATTTCCGACTCCTAATTCTGTAAGAACTCGCGTCAGACTTTGAGGTTCTATTATTTGTGTTTTTGGGCATGGAAGGGTTTCATGGTCTTCTTGTCCATCACTGAAAGGGTTTCTGGAGAGAGAAGAGGTCTTAGAATTAGAGGATGAAGATCCACGACCTTTGAAATGAGCATCATCATCAAATGGGTTGTTAGAGAATTTGTCAAGAACATGTACAGAGGAGGTCGCTTTGAGGAGGCCAAGTTGCAGACTGATGAGATGCTCATTTCCAATTGAAGGGCGAGTCTCGCCTCTACGAACTTTGCGTGTTCTCTCTCTGCCGGAGGCTTGTCTAGGGAAGACGACAATGATTTGTGGAGCAATTGGTAGAATCCAGCGTTATTCCTGTACATTACGAACACCATCCAGACCTGCCCACCATGGTTGAAGCTGTTGACAACACATGCCAAGGCACCCACCCACTGCTGTTGAGCCCCCAAGTGCCGATCCCACCGTCGCAATGGCCATCAGGATGGGCCCAGCCACGACCATCTCCCTATTGTAGTTCAAAACCAGCTTGTTGAGCCTAATGTACTCCGTCGTGTCCACCTCCCTCTCCATCTCAACGCTCCTCCTCAATCTTGGAAGGAGTAGCAGCAGCACTCTTGGGCCACCACATTGCGGGCTTCATTTCAGAGGGGAACTTTTCGAGCATGCCAAGGAGCAAGGGCAGGGGATAGGCTTTGTTGATGCTCAACACTTAAGCCATGGCATCATCAAGAAATTGAGAAAGCTCTAGGCTGAGGGAGGAGTGAAGGCCCAATGTGGATTGGATATGCGAGTGGAGGCTCTTGAAGAGTCGCGTGGCTTTCCTCTGCTCCTGGATCTTGCTCATCACGCACACCATGCTAGGGGCCGCCGAATAGAGGAAGGCGGGCGGAGGAAAGGGGTGAGGGAAAGGTGGGCAACATTAGAGCTCGGAAATGATGCCCCATGGTTGCAGCCGCGAGTGTGATTGAATCGGTGGAGTTGAGAAGAAGTGTTTTTCGATAGAGTTCTCTTCGAGGAGGTCTCAACTGAGTTAAAAGTTTTTTTTGACTGTTTATCTTTGTTCTTTTGAAACTCTTTCCGTTTATTGGGGTGAAAAAAATAGATGCAGAGTTTTCAGAGAGAGGAGAGAGAGAGAGTTTTCAGAGAGATAGATATGAAGTCATTTTACAAAACGTTTCAATTAATAATGTACGGTCAAAAGGGTTTACGGGGCAAGAAGATATAAAAGATAGAGCTTTTATGCCTCAATAAATAGTTGAAATTCTTGTATCTTTTAAGAAATAAAAGCCAAAAATAGGGGTATAGAGATATTTTTCTTAAAAAAAAATTATAAAGTCAGTGTACGACAAGTTAATTACGTGGTTTAGCGCAAAAAAGTCATGGTTTGGATGGTTGTTATGAAGTTTTTTCATGGTTCACACTTTGTCCACTGCAATAAGGGAAAAAATAAATAAAATTGAAGCTCTCAAAACCCTAGATTTATTCTCTTGAATGGCCGATTTAGAGTCTTGGAACATTTTCGAGCTGCAAATTATTTAATTTTTGATGGAATTGGTATTGTATGTCTCTAAAGATGATAAAAGTTCTATACAAAAGGTTGCAATTAGTATAAGGAAAAAGTTTATATAGAGCCGAGCTCTAAACAATCAAATTAAAGCTCATTTCAAAAATTTCGCTAGAAGAGGTTGTTTTGATGCCCAAATATCCTCAAATTGATCATATAGACATCAAAATGTAAGGACATGAGAAAAAAATGGATTTCAAGTATTAGAAATAGGGCATCATGTAACACTTTTTTGAATTGTCAATTTTCAAGATTTTCAAGTTCGCATAGCTCTACTCAATCGACACTATTTTTTAAGCTTTAAATTTTATAATTAAATATCAAAATATATTTTAAGGCTATCACAAAGATTTTCAGTATTAAAACCACATTTCTCGATACTATTTGAATATGCACTTTACTTTGATTGTTTAGAGCCTCGGCTCTACAATCTAGTTCTTGTAGTAATGCCCTTAAAAACGCATGAATGGGGAAGCAAGACAACGATATTGCTTATAAATAACTGGTCAATCCAATTTTTCAATAAAGAAAGAAGTTTTTTTTTTTTGGGGGATGACGAGCCCTACCCATCCCTTACCCATTTTTTGAAATCGTTAGTAGTTGTTTAATGCAGTAGGTGAAAATGAAAGTTTAGACTTCAACTGGGGCATAAGTGATGCTACCACCACGACCCCAACCCCATTCTGAACAATTATCTTTTCTTAATATGACCTTTATACCAGTTGTGTATAAAACTTATCCAACCTTGTTTTGGAGTAATGCTTTCATACAGTATTTTAAATTTCCAGATAGGAATTCATCAACCTGGATCATATTCAGTGGTTGGGTGCTGCGGGTCTATGCCCCACAGGAATTGCTCGATTATATCTTTGTATTGGTTTTTTTGTGGTAATTATTCATCAATTCAGCCCATTCCGATTGCTAATTCGAATCGGTTCAACTTAGGCCGATCCACCTGGCCAATTCAGTTTCTAAAACATTGCCTCAGACAAGGGAGAGGACAAAATATTAGGGTGAAGTTTAACTTTCATGCGCTAAATCCTGCATTCCTATTCATTTTCTATGAGATTAATGCAAACCAATGGTTTAGTTACTATTACAAAAATCTTATTCACTTTTAAACGCAAATATTAGGGCAAACATCAGAAACTAGACTCTGTATATATGTATAAGATGCGGACTGATAATCATTTAATATATATTGGGTTGATTTCAACATAAATCTATTTTTTTCCTAATCTTGCTTTCTTTTATGCTATATTACCTTGATCTTCTTTTTGTTTTTTACTTTATGCATGAATACCTTCCTTTTCAATAAGTTTTTCAAGTTAACTCTTGAACTTGGCGATTTAAGTTCTATTATGACTGAGAGTTTTTGGACACCTGATAAAACTACTACTAAAATTGATTTTTTCACTTGCATCTCAAGCAATGTGATGGCCCAATCCAAATGGACAAGCCCACTTCTAATATAAGTTTGTGTGATTTTTTATTACAAAAAATATTCTTTGAGTGTTCAAGTTTCATACAGAACTTTAATGTCGGACCAATTGGGTTGATTTTAAACTGTAGGACATTTCTGTGAGCTTATTGTATACAAACCCTTCACTTATTTAGTTATAGAAAAAGTTTATGCAAGGTTGCAACTTTAAAATATAGAATTATAGATGCACCCCAAAAATCTATCAGAAAAAGTTGTTTTGATGTCGAAAAACTCTCTAATTGATCATCTCGACAACTAGACGTATGAATATGAAAAAAAAGATTTTGAGTCATAAAAATAATGCATCTTGCAACACATTATCTAGACCGTCCATTTTCAATATTTTCACATGTTTATTGATCTAATTGATTTTAACCGTATTTTCAGGTTTAAAATTTTATAATTAGATATGAAAATAGATTTTGAGATAATCCTAATAATTTTTTACATCAAAATTACATGTTATGATAATATTTAGAGGTGTGCCTTAATTGGATTGTTTAAGGTTGCAACCTCATACAAACCACACCCTTTAGTTATTAATAATAATGCATACATGTATCCTAGGTAGATGTAGGTACTCTTCTTCTTTTTTTTTGGGAATAGTAGAAATCGAACTTGATGATAAAACGGAGTAGGTCAGTCTTATTTGGTTTTTTGGGAGAAACCACAAGGATTTGAACCCTTGATCTCCCTCAACCACACTATACGTTGAATAGACACAAAGTCTAAAAAAAATAAAAAAATCTCAGACTTTCGTTACTCACCCCAAACCATTCAATTTGAGAGTGTAGAATTATTGTGACCTTCATTTATAAAAGATAAATAGTCTCTTTATAGAGACAATTACCCATGTAAACATAGCACTGCAAAGTACAAGCCTCAAAAAACAGCAATCTTTCTTGTTTGACCTAAATGACATGAAGATCCACCATAGACATAATTGTTACAAAGAAAGTGGCAAAGTATAACCAAATCCAAACTCAACGTGTATAATCTTCCATATACTTTTCTTCATTCGAGTTATACCGAAAATTGCTATGATTACAGAGGAAAAAAAAGTCACAGTTGAGGAAGCGCACTTGACTTCTAACCTAAATGAAAGAAAAAAAAAAAAAGGAGAAAAATATTACAGAAGTCATGAAAATGAAACAATTATATTCCATCTGCAACCCTAACACCAGCCATCTTGTCCCATTCATCTGGCGACGCAGCTTCGGCCATGATCTTTTCCTGACCACGCCAAAGGATCTGAACCCCACAAATTTACCAGTTTGTCAATATCTCACTGAGATAAGCCGGTAATAATTTGCACGGATATTATAAAAACAGCAAATACTAACATAACAGCCAATCTTGAAGCAATGGAAAATGAAACTACTATGAATAGAAACTGCGAGCCTCTTTGTAGTATCATCCTAAAGGAATAAAATAAAACAACCAAGAACTAGTAGTCTGTACCATTCTGAGCTTGCACACAAAGAAATGAACAAGATAAAGACTAAACCAATGGTTAAGAAAGTTCAAGGGACATATCTTAAAAAGTAGATTCCCAAAGGTCTGGGGTTATCCAAACATTATTGTTAGATGCTTTGTCAGATAAAAAAAGCCAGCCTGTATCATTTATGGGTATTGGGCTTCACAAACATTTGAGGAGCCATTTCAAATAACATGTACCTTGTCAATGACTCCAAACTCTTTTGCCTTAATGGAATCCATATAAAACGGTCGTCGCATCACCTGAGATATTGTCTCAATTGACTGAAGGAAGAAAGGAAAACAGAGAGTTCGGGCAGAATCAGAAGACAGAGAAATGATTACAAGAAATCGTCAATAGAGATGATAAAGAAAAATAAGTCAATATGTGCTTTTAAAAAAAAAACAAAACAATGCTTACATTTCCAGTGTGCCTTGCTATAAGTTTAACAAGTGTGTCTCTGTTGTTTATAACCTGCAAAATGATGGAAAATATATGAAGCGCAAAATCTGAAAAAAGAGTTATTTTTAATACCCCAATAAAGTATATAAAAGTCCCCCAGCAACATCTGGAATCACACATGAGGCAGTTACAAAAGTACAAAGTACTTTGGCTGCATTGATTAAACATAGGTTCAGCTCTGCTACTACTAAGCAATCAAATTCTTAATGCTTAATAATGATAGCATTTATTTGGACATACACACGTCGGTTTAGTAAGTTTTGGAAAGCCAGGGAGATTTCTGGATAAGTCCTCCCCATATGTAAGGAAGCTTTAGAAATCTACCCCTAACTGCGATTGATAGACAATGGTTGCTTGATAAAACAATAAAGAGTAATGAGGATATTACTACCTAATCATGTAACTCTCTAACCATGGTCTTGAAAATTAAGTACTTTACATGCATGTTAGAGACACCTAATCATGTACCAAAATGGCCTTATATTAAGAGCTAAGCACAGAGACAGTCTCTCATGTATACTTGTTCTTTTATACTTTAATCCACTAATAATTGGCCCATTTTCTAAAGCATTCAGGAGGTGAATTTTCATTTCTCAACACAATATAGCTCTGGAACATTAGAGAGAAAATTAATCTTGCCTAGAATATAATGCTTCACATTGAATTAGAAATATAGCACGCTAGCATATTGAGTAATTGCTTATAGACTGAACTCCTTTAGCTGTACAAATTTGTTGCCTCCAGCTTGAGATGGAACATTGAAGATTATTTTTTCAAGTACAGGTTACATAGACAGCCTTTTCATATGTGCTTATTGTCCATCCATTTTTTTTTTCCATTGAGGCAAAACCTGCCACAATATACATGACATGAGGACTATTTTGTCATCAACCCAATTTCGTAGTAAACCTATCACTTGAAATGGCAATACTGTATTCGTTCTAGTTTTAGCCCAAAACTTGGTAACTTTTTGATGTTACAGCTAACCAAACTTGAGGCAATTTCAAACTTTACTCTTAGAAGGATCTTGATATTAGGAAAATAGTGAATGAACAAACCTCGTTTGCTCGAATGATGACATCACTAGCCGGCATTTGCCCAGATGATGGAACACGAGGTTGTTGAATCATGGCTGAAACCAATGACAACTCCCCACTTCAAATGAGGAATAAACGCTAACAAAAGTGCATTGCAATCCTATAGACTACTAAAGAAACCATAGTCCATTGGGCTATCACTGTCCATTATGTTGGTAATGAAAAGAGTGGAACCCACTAAAACAGATAGAGACCCCCAATGGTGGTCCAACTCTCTATAGATCTCCATAACGAACCATCCTTTCAGTGGACAGGGATGACTCAATGGACAGTATTTTCCTCATATATAGTCCATGAACATGATCTGGATACCCAATCTCTTTCCATTGCCATCTGTTGAAGGAACAGATGATAACAAAGCGATAGACCCTTTGCGTACTTTTCCAAGATTGTATGGACCGAATTAGCTTTTCATATCTCGTACATGAAAGTGATAAAAAGAACAAACCTTTGGCATGTGGCATCATATAGCGACGACCCTTTCTTCCAGCAGCAAGAAGTAGACATGCATGACCAATGGCTGCTCCAACAGCAACTGTCTGGATCTGTATGCCGCATAAAACAATTGGGAACAGATAAGATTCAAGCAGAATTTAGACCCAAAATTCAGAGATGCTATGTCAGGCAAGGAAGCATGAATGTATTTATTTATTTTAGAAGCAAGCCTGATAAGTTATCAGGATTATTTATTGTACAATCAGTACTCTTATCCACAAAAAATAGCTGAATAATATACCCATCAGTCTCCCTTCCCTCACCGAGCAACGAAGTACACCACACTGAGCTTATGTAGCCGATAAGTTAGAGCACAAGCTGATAGTCTATTGAAGTGTTCCCCTATATAATATTACGCAGCTTCATACTACCTAGTTAACAATCCGCTTGCAAGGTTCAATAAAAGATTACCTACTTTTTTAGATGGTTAGATGGCTTCTTATGCTCACTATTCTATTGAGCCTTTTTGAAATCCAATAAACACACAACCCACAAAGAACTTCATATAAGTGCACAAATGAGAAAATGACAGTCATGTTCTATGAAAATAAAATCAGAGGAAGTACCAGAAAATCATAAATTGGGAATAGGAAGTGGATTCTACCTCGTTTTTCAATTGCATCATTGCATCATAGATAGCAAACCCTTCAGACTCCATTCCAACCTGCAATACAACGGCAATATGAGGCTATGACATTGCGAGAAAAAGATGACTTTAAATATCTAGACAAATACAAAGTTTTCTTCTTTTTTTTCCTTTTTTTTTTTTTAATTAAATGTGACAAGTACAGAAAAATAATCTAGCATTTTATGCTATACATTCAATAAACATGGATAGAGATAGCCAATCGACTTAATCACAAGACATAGTGCAACATGAATTACCATGAAAATACCATGATTGAAAAGTAAATCAACCTCATAGGATAGTTACAAAGTAGCACTCAAATCAATGCATAACTGGACACACAAAACCATGCACACTATGTGAAGAAGGGAAACCATATCTCAAGTAGAAGGTGAACTACTTAAAAAGTATGGCCAATGAAAATTCCAACATACGAGACAAACTGTGAACTACTTATATATATTTCATGTGGATCACTCATTAGTCAATTTCACCATTTTGCATGTAGAGGGTTGTGATTAACAATGTCAACTAATTAAACACGATAAAGAAAGTGAAATTAAGAACTCAAAGTTACAACCAATAGGAATCTCAATCAGCAAAGATATTACCATAGTTTTAAAAAGCGGACCGCCCAGCGCCTAGGCAGCCAAACTAGGCAGATGTCCCTTGGTGCCTGCCTAGGCGCCCGCCTAAACCTACCTAGGCGGCCGCCCAGGGCCTGCGCCCTGCCCAAGAGCAAAAATTGAGGGTATTTTTGGGTCATTTTTTTAATACTAAAGGGGCAAAATTGTGAGTTTTAGGTTATTTGAAAGCTAAATTGATTAGAGGCTATTTTAGGGAGAGAAAACCCAAAAAAAAAAAAAAAAGCATTCGCCACCTAGGTTCTGGGTGCCCACCTAGGCGTTGGGCAGCCTGGACGCCCCCGACCGCTTAGGTGCCGCCTAGCGCTTTTTGAAACACTGGATATTACATCCCATGTAGTGGTTCAGTAATCTTGTTTGAAGGAGTTTCTAATGGGCATGACGAACTTCCAGAAGGTTACATGCCTCCAAAATGGATCCAGTTTCTTCTAGATCATCTAGGAAAGGCCATAGAATTTGACTTCAACTTCTGACTGCAGAGGTTCAATGAGCAGGTTTGTCCTTGATCATGGTGACAGCAAGAATATTTTCTCACAGAAAAATGCACCAAACCTGAACAACCCCCATGGAATTTTAGAACTTACCTTCTGTGAATCTTTGAGAATCCCTTGAAAAGAAACAGCAACTGGATTTTTTTTTTGGTTCCAAATTTTACACCCTAAAAGATATGTTCAAGTAAAACAATTTTTATACATGCGCTTTTGTCATCAACTCATATGCTAAACACAACCATGTTAACAGTTGATGGATCGAAGTCCAGAGTCTCTCACTACAACAAAATAATTCCATTAATTGGGCCACAACAACTGATCAGGGTCAATCATTTACTTCCACACATCTAAAGGTTGCCTATGAGCATTGAGGTGAATTCATTTCTTTCATTTTCTTACAGTGAGATACTAAAGTAACTAAACCCCAGACATATTTTTTACCTTTATTTTTGGCAACATGACCCTCCTGTGCCTCTATTAGGAATCATGATACTATCATTCTTGTCCCTTGCTTTGCATTCCTAAGAAAACATAAATATCTGTCCTCCATCCATACTGATTCACAACTCCAATGTTCTTCATGATCTTTTTGCAGTATTGAGGGATATCAAAATCATTGGGTCGTTTTGGGAAAGATAGTAAGAAAGTGAATTTTACCTTTGATATAACCATCCTATATAGAACATAGAGCAAGCAGTATGGACTAAATTATTTTTGCAGTCATGAAGACCAAATACTTTTTGTAAGAAAGTGAATTTTACCTTTGATATAACCATCCTATATAGAACATAGAGCAAGCAGTATGGACTAAATTATTTTTGCAGTCATGAAGACCAAATAATTTTTATCTTCCAATATGCATGATCAGGGAAACCTTTTTGTTTTAATGAGCACGCCACCAGGGAAAGTGGATCAATTCTATAATGGTGAGGATAAAATAGTGCACCTTGCACTTTAGGAAACTTGGATTATTTTTACAAAGAAAATGAAACTTGAATTAATTACCCATGACATTTATATAAGTCATCAAATGTGTTGTAATTCTTACTCTATATCCACAGCTCCATCTCTCAGACAGTGACCTTTACTTTAAAACTGGCACTCAACATTCATAAACACCACAATCACAACTTCAAAACAAAATAAAATATACAAAATTACACGAACCAAATTCGATCGCCTCGGGGGCACAATCCCCAAAGTATTTTGGTTTCAAGTAGCAATGTAACCACAAAGATTCAAATAACATAAGCATATCATTTTGCCCAATAGCCATTTTCCAGAGGTAAAAACTCAAAACATAAGAACACCGAATGCAAGCTGAAGTGCTATTTAATAAGGTCTCTCTGAACAAAAGATATTTGTCCATTCCAGTGTAATAGCATTTATATATTTTTTCTCTATTTGCGTTTCATTATCACCATAATTCACAAATGAAAGGTCTTATTGATCAAAAAAAAGTTGTAATACAAGGCATATGAAAAAGAGAAATGTACACATAAAAGATAGAAACCAATCAATGTAATATCATTTTCAAGATCAAATAGGAATGTATTGTTGTCATATGTGATGTATGCTTACAAAGTTGATGTTGGCAAGAGGCTTTTTCAGTTATATAAGTTCTACATAATTTAATTTTCATATAAAATGCATGTTGACAAGACGGATTGAGAACACGTTATAGATCAGAAATAAACTGATAAGCCATGGATCGACATCTTGGTTACTTGACTACCAATTGGTCTGTGACCTCACTAGCTGCTCTCCAGGTATAATGAAAAGAAACATTCAGATTTTTGCACATCGCCATAATTCTGCGAAAATACTCACGATCCTCCAAAGATGTGTGTATGCCCTTTTAGTCCAAAAGATTACATTTTTAAGTCCCCCTCAATCTCGATGCTTTTCCAATCCGATTGGATATTGTGAAGCCCAATGAGGAAAGCTTGAGCTTCCGCCTTGTCAAAATAACACGTCGTGATTGGTCCTGAATAAGTTATAGGCATCGTGCTTTGGTGGTCTTTCAGGACCCCACCAACTCCGATAGGGACTGAATGCTTCAAGAACAGCCATCAAAGTTTAATTTTAAGACTTCATGGCTAGGAGGAATCCATTTTGTATTGTGCTTTGTTCCACACAATATGTGGTCACTGGTTTTCAAAATCAGTCACCCAAATCCCCTGAAGCTGATCTCTCGATTTGGCCCAGGATATCACAATCGACTTTATCTTATCGAACAACCAACTTACATTATGTTATATAATCTTGAAAGTTCATTATTTCTCTCAATCCACAGGGCCTGTAGCAAGGCTAACATAATCTCCATAAAATTAATCCTGCTTTTAGTAAATCAGGTGACATCCACTTATTGATCACATCCTCAACAGCCTACTCACACCTATTGTTAATATCAGCCTTGGTTTCTAGTTCAAGAACAATAAATACCTAATAAACAAGTTCTTGAACTTCGAGGAAATTACAAACTTTTGCAATCTACCCCAGAGATCTTCCAAATTTTCTTCTTGGTAGGCAAATGATTCCTAGTTCCACAAATTAAAGGCACAAGTAAATGCATCCACATAAGCATGCACACACCTACATGCATGATAGGATGTTCAACACCAAAGGCCAACGTTTTGTATTAAGTGAGATAGAACATGAAAAAGAATGAAATCTTGCAACATATTAAATCAAGTATTCCACTAATGACATCCAAATATAAAATATAACAATGCCAAACAAACCTTTGTCTTCAAGAAATACAAGAAGGTTAAAAAATAAAGGGAAAGAGCATACCGTCTCACCATCATCACGTGTTGTTCCAGTTGAATTGATATAGATATAAATTGGCTGCTTTGGATCCATCCATTGCAAGTACATTAACTCTGCAATTACAAGCTCAGTGACAGCTGGTACCAACTGAAAATAAAAGAAAAAGATAATCATGAATCCAAAGAGGACTTTATGCATTCAAAAGAATGGAAGCAGCAAATATTCCGCAAGCATATTAGCAGCAAACATCAAGATTCAAATATTACCAAGTCAAGACCAATAATTAAGCTATTGAAATCTCAGCAAACAAAATATTAAAAACAAAAGGACAACAAAAGCATAAGTCAACTGACACACAAATAGCTCCTCAGACAATAGAAAAGTGTGCTAAACTGGAGTGTTAAAGCAACTATGACCAACCAACATTCAACAATTATTTTTTTTAAAAAAGAAGCAAACTAAGACTCAAGATTTCATGAGGAAGTTAATCATACTGTCACAAATATATATATATACTTTCTATATTAATCTAAGATATCATTTGGGAAGTAATTTAGCACGGTATACTGTAATTAAAATATAATAATATGTATAGTGAATCATTGTTTCAAAACTAAAACTCAACTCAGAACTCAGCATGTTCCCAAGCTAGGTCTTAGCTGTATAGTGTTTGAAAGGTTTAGAAAAAATAAAAATAACTGGGGCTAGCATCAGCTCAGAAACTCATCAAGGAGCCAAGCCATCTTGGGCAAGACCCAAGTCTTTCCTCCAGCAACTTTGAACAGTATTATCCAAATAAGGACATACAGGCATGAGAGATCTCTGACACTTATAATTCTTTTTGCAGTGCTATTATATATGCAAACACAGCAATGTTTCATGGATATTGACATTTGTCATACTCTACTCTCATCCATTCAGTCTCATTCACTCATAACAAAACCATCAAACGCGACATGACGATTGCAACCAAATTTAAAGTAGTAAATCAACGACCACGAATAAATGCCATCCATAAAAATTGAAGTTAACTACATAATTGTCTAGTTGATCAGTAGGATTATTCCCCCTGGTGGTACACAAATGTTTGGTTAGATTCTGAAGATTAGTCGCTCTGAATTTGAGATTTTTCACAAGAGTTAAACTGAGGAGACACAATGCTAGCACTCAGCTCGTTAAACCAGAAATCCCAGATTACTTTGTACCTATGATTGTTGAACTGAGCAAATTAGATTTTTCTTTTTTTTCAAACGACCATATGTAACATTGAAGAAGGGCAGGTAAACAAATGCAGTTAACTAATTAGTTTACCATAAACAGAAGGAGGAACGAAAATATTACCGGCATGCCAATGTACACAATTCTGCCATGAAGAAGCAAAGAAGGCAAGTCAGGAGGAGGCTTTCTCGGCCTGTGCTCATTGTAAGAAACAGCCCGCTCCACCTAGACCATGAAAAGAACGAAAGAATGAAAACAAATTAAGTAAATATCCAACAAACTAAGGAAGCTTCAACGAGAACAAGAACATTAAAAACCAGGAAGCTTCCGTGAATGAGAAGACTAAGATAATCAAGAAATGCAATGAAAATTTCCACAATAACAACAAGAATGAAAGCTATCAAAAGTTCATGACATTGAATCCAGGAAAGCATTGCTGAGAAGAAACCCACATAGCTCACGCAATAAGGAAAACCATCAAGAAATTAGAACTGCAAAATCCATTTCTTCAACAGCATAAAAGAAAAATCATCGAAAGATACATCAAATTTCCACAAGCACAATATGTTGTGTGAGAAAACCAATCAGCTATACATCCAAAGGATTTGATCAAAAAAATAAAAAATAAAACAAAATAAAATGGTGAAAGAGAAAACATAATTAACTTCCAAAAAAAGAAAGAAAAATACAGATGAACCCACGAGACCCCTCTAAGCAACCCAAAAAGAAACCCACAGAAAAATTGAATTTCTTTATCTGTAGAAGTAAGAAATGGTACCTGAGCAGGAGTAGCCATGAGCTTGGGGGTATCGAAGAGGTCGAGAAATGGTGGGGTATCGTCATTTTTATTGGGTTGAATAAGGTTTGGAGAGATGGAAGCAGCAGATGCAAGTTTAGAGAGAAATGGGTCTTTTGGGTTCAATGGTGGGATAGGAATCGAAGCCATTCTTTTGCTGAAAGCCTTCGTAGAAGAAGAAGAGGCCACTGATAATCGCAGTGAAGAGCTTCCATTCAGACAACAGCTGACACTACCACACGCCATCTCTCTCTCTCCTCTCCTCTCCTCTCTCTCTCCTGATGAGCTTAAAGACCTTAACACCGACCAGACCCGACCCCGAACCACTGTTGCCTCTCTCTCTCTCCTCTCTCTCTCTAGAACGTGTCCCTTATTATCAGTAGGTCTTTCTCTCTCTCTCTCTCATGACTTCAGAATTTAGATGAAGGGAAAGAATATATATCCTGTGATCGGTACGAGCATAGAAAATTTATGGCCATTAGTGTAATCACCGTCTAAGAAAATGATGGACAGTCAAAGAGAGAGGAGGAGGAAACACTTCAAAAACGAGACGACCCAAGTGCCATGTTGGCTATGTGCCCACCACCGTCTGTTTTTCAATCGGGAGGAGATAAAAACTCCTGACCATATACCCATATCAAGTTGGCCGGCCATGTTTCCATCAATATTCCGAATTCATGTTCCTCTCCCTTCCCCGGTTCTAGCAGAATCACATACATTTATACCTTTACTACGCTTTGTGAAAAACACAAAAAACAAAAAAATTATAGCCATTACTCGGGCTACTTCAAAGGATCGGTGGATTGGAGAATCGACAAGTGTCGCTTCAAAATATTTTTAAAAAATTACTATAAATCTTTAAACATAGTGTTTTTTTAGTTTCCAAAAGCAATTAGGAGTGATGCATTAAGTATTTTCATTATTTTATAAAAATAGGTGAATACGGAGATGTTTTTCTATCTGGATGTTTATATAATATTATTAATTATGATATGATATAATAATATAATAATATTGCATCAAAATAATTTAAAAATATTAAAAAACACTTCCATATTATAAACTCGCATCTGCTGCTTCCATCTGTATGCATTAGCATGAGCACAAAGTATGCAAACAGTAAGATCGTTGTATGGACTATGGACTGAAACAAGAACTCAAACAATCGCATAGGATTATTATATATCATGGATTGTCTATGAACGAATTTGAAAGTAAATATATGCCTAAGTTATAGATAGTGCATACATGTAAGTAGATGATATTATCGAACTTAGAAGTACCCACATGCATACTAGAGACAAAGACCGTATTGACCATTAAATTTTGAGAAAATTATGTATATATCCGCTATAGTTTCTGTTATTATCAAAATACCAACTAATTTTCGTTATCACTAAAATATCTGTTCTTTTCACTTTATAACAAAAAATTTTTTAAAAAAAATATTGTTTTACCAAATGAGATGAGTTAATCTCTGGAATAAAGATAGTGAGAAAATGACATGTTTTTGTTCTAACTCACCCTCACTATGTCAATAAAGCTCTCGATAGGTTTCACCAATGATAATATTCCAACTACAAACACATATAGTCCCATCTTCATTAAGATAATAGGTTTATATGAGTCAGTCGACTCATATGTACGTGGGCGACCCCCCACTAAAATTCATTTAGATGAAATTTTTTTTTATAATTTGTTTATAGATTTATCATCTAGGACAAGATAATCATAAATATGAAAAGGAAAATCAATTTTTAAAATTAAAAAATATAAACTCTTAGTATTTTTTTATGCACCATCCATATCTTATTTATGGACAATACTCTTTAGATAACGTCCATCTTTGAGCAATGATCATCCATCAGTAGGGTCGACATTTATATGTGAGAAGTCATGAAGAGTCGATAACCGTGGGATCGCTAGCAAGTGGCACGATCGACACCGTTGGTATGCTATAGTTGTCTATATTATGTGCATCATGTACTGCACTTTGAATTGATGTTAACCAAGAAGTGAGTAAGCTTAAAAGAATGATCAGCAATTGAGATTGAGAGTATTGGAATATAGTTTACAAGGTCATGAAATATCTCAAATGAACTATAGACTATGGATTATATTATATCGATGAACTTATTGTCTTTAAAAGGGCGCAAACTGGATATCAAATTGAGATGAATCTAGGTCTACTGATAGATAGATCTTCATCTTTGGGAGGAGGGTGGGGTGTCATAGCATGGGGTTTCAAGAAGCAAACTTATATCTATAGATTCACAATGAAGTCGGAGTTAATCACCATGGAACTAGCTAGTAGAGAGGTAAAATGCCTTGAATTTGTTGGTTGATGTACTGCTTAATTAGAAACATGTATGTATAGTCTCAATTTACCATGATTCTGAAGTTGATGTACTGCTTAATTAGAAACATGTATATATATTCTTAATTTACTATGATTCTGAAGTTACAATGTAACAAGAATACGTATGATTTGCAATGGTAAATCTGGACATATCTTCTTGAGGCACAATAAATTGAGACAATCTCTTGAAGGTGGAGCAATTAAATAATTATAGTAGACCATATCAAGTCCAATTAAAACTTGGCAGATCCACTTATCAACGGCCTATAAAGGACCAAATCCGGGATACAACTAGAGGGATGGGATTGAGAACCACTACGCCAAATCACAGAGTGATATGGACCTACATGATAGAACAGGTTGTCCCAACTCTCGGGTTTAATAGGTAGTAAGTTACATGACAATGGAAGCTCTATTTTGTATAATGGTAGAAATAGACCATTTACTTTTTGTACAAGGAGGTCACAACTATTCTCATTTATTTATTAGATGTCAAATTTGATGGCTTAAGGTGAGTTACAAAATCCAAGAATTTTTTTAAAAAAATTTTTTATATTTAATGAATAACACTCTTACAACCACCCATTTTGAAATTTTTAAAAAGAATGATTGTGACCTCTTTGAAGACAATCCCTTGTATAATATACTCGAGAGAGTTATCATTTCAAGTCTTATTCCTAGTCATATGGTGAGCAAAAATCTACAACTTGGTAGGAGGTGTATGCTCAAGCTCTTAAAGAATCCATTAACCTAGAAATTAGGATGGGGGTATTTTCATGGAGAATCACCATGATTCACCTCTGCAAGTGGAAATTTGATTCTTCCCAAGACTAGAACCTCTTAATCCCTCAAAAAAATGGTATATGGTGCACAAAGTTTGAACAAATGTATGAGTAAATTAAAGGATTACAAAACCTGAAAGACAATACCTATTATGTCTGGGGTCGACCCATTAATTTACTCCCCTTTCATGCTCTCAACCAGCCTAAAGGTGGCAAGGGATCCTAGACTTGGGACTTGATAGGTAATAACCGATCCGGGTCTATGTATGGGTCCAAAAATTGGACTTGGCGGGTCGAGTCTAGGTCCAAATCTTGGACTCGAATACTATTCAAGGCTGAATCCAGTAATATTTTTCAGGTCCCAATATAAAATATATATTGACATATAATTTAATGCAAAAATATTTTAACTTTTGGGTTGGGTTGGATCCTTCTACTTGTATGAAGTAAGTGACTCCCCATAAACTTGGAAAGGTGGAGCTAGCAAGTGGAGGGCAAGATGCCAGATAAAAATAACTCAAGGAGGCATCAGGGCATCTTTAATCTCAAAGACCAATGTCGCATCATCACCTCATGCACATAGCTCTTATTCCCCTCAACCTTCCTGCCTTTCCGTTTGACTTCCCACCTACCTGAACTCGTACCATCTAGAACGGGTTGTGCTTCCTCTTTTTTTTTTCTATTTTTTTTTTTAAAAATATCGAGTTGGGTTCTTCTCCTACAAGTATAGAATAGAACACGTTGAACACTAAAGGAAATTCGATGTCATTCCGCATAACACTACAAGAAAATTCAAGTCTTTTTAAGGCCTTTTCAAGGAAGCATTACTTTTCTTTATTTGTCATTCGTTCTTTTTAAGTAGTTTTGAAACAAGGGTTAACAGTTAGTTTTAGAACTTATTTAAAATTAGTTTACTGGTTTTCACTGCACAATGAACTCAGCGAAGTTTGGGGGACTTCAGTTTAAAACTAATATCGTCCTAAATCTGGCCAATAACGATTAATTGGATATGATTTCTACTCATCAGTTAGGGTAGTTTTCGAACTTTTTAAATTCAAACTTTCCCGCCCAAACTCTCTTATACCAGTCTTATACGCCCGCAATTTTTCACTCTCAGACATTGTTTCTTTTTCAAGTGTATACTCTTTTTTTTTCAAGTCTAGAGGGAGTTTAGGAATTTTTTTATTGAAGTTATTCTATTGGTTGTTAAAACTAATATCGTCCTAAATCTGGCCAATAACGATTAATTGGATATGATTTCTACTCATCAGTTAGGGTAGTTTTCGAACTTTTTAAATTCAAACTTTCCCGCCCAAACTCTCTTATACCAGTCTTATACGCCCGCAATTTTTCACTCTCAGACATTGTTTCTTTTTCAAGTGTATACTCTTTTTTTTTCAAGTCTAGAGGGAGTTTAGGAATTTTTTTATTGAAGTTATTCTATTGGTTGAAGTAAGAATTTTCTTTATTGAGGTAATTCCACAGGAGATTACATTCCCAAAATTTAGAGTCCTAAAATTGAACCTATACGAGATTTTGCTTAAGGGAGTAAGTAGACACTATACTCCTTTGTATGATATACTTTGACATAATAAAAAATCTTACAAGGATTCTTCTCCTCCTATTACCAAAAATTGGATCTCTTTCCAAAAGTATTTTGTAAATCCAAAAGGGAAAAGTTTTAGAATTGAGATGCCATCTAATAACTTCTCTAGAAAAATATTAAAAAAAGAAAACTATTATTTTCAATTAAAACATTTTATCCTTAATGCAATCTTTCACAAGAGGCACATCATAAAAAAAATAAAAGCAACAAAAAAAAGAAACCACAAAAATACTAAACATTGTTAATAAACATAAATGCTAAAGCAGTAATAGTAGCTCACCCAAAAATTGATAAATCAAAATAAACGAGAAGTTATAAACCTAGAACACAAAATACGATGGCGCTCACCGGAGAACCATACACGGACCGAAGACTTCCTGGAGCATTTTTAAATTCCAAATTTTAGAATTCATCCCCGTATATCAAACAATTTGCATGAAAATATTCTGAATTTTGTGTTCCACGAAGATCTTACCAATTAGCTCCAAGGGTTACTCGCAAACTTTGGATCCAAGATAGAAAACCCTTGACGCGAGCACTGCATTTTTCTACGCCATATATAAAGAAAACATTTTTTAATATATTTTAAAAGGAAAAATTTATATAGATCCTAGGCTGCGCAACTCAAAACATTCACTAAAAGATGTTGTTGTTTTGATACCAAAATATCTTCAAATTGATCATCAAGATGCACGGACGTGAAAAAAAACATGAATTTCAAGTTTTGAAAATAGTACATTTTGTAATGTATTTTTGGACCGTCAATTTTCAAGATTTTCAAATTTTCATACTCGTTCTGTACTATTTCAAAAACTTTTAATTTTATAACTAAGGATGAAAATATAATTTAAAGCTATCACAAAACTTTTCAATATTAAAACCATATTTTTCGATACCATTTGAAGGTAGACTATAATTTGATTGTTTAGAGCCTCAGCTCTATACAAACCATACCCTATTTTAAAAGATATACCAAATCTACAATATCCAACAACAAAAATATATTGTTGATCATATTTCCACAATAAAGGATTATTTGTACAAAACAATATAAGCGAATAAACGCAGACCCAATCACGGCAAACCAGACAGTACTAAGCGAGGTATCGGCCACCCATCTCATTCATTTAGAGCAAAAACAAACCCCAACCCTAAGACAACAAAAAAAAAAAATAATCTATTCGGAAGGATGCGGAGCATCTTCGCCGACCGAAGATGTAGACTGCTGCTTTTCGTCCACATGGACATCGGTCTCACTCTCCTGGTGGACATCCGTCTCACTCTCCTCGTGGATAGGCTCCATCTCCATTTGGGCCCTGCCCTTGAAGACTTTTGCTATCCGATCAGTCGGAATGAACGGCAGATATTGCGCCACATGGTACCCCGTTTGGGATGCATATAGCACGGAGTCATTGTACCTTTCCGACCAATAGGAAGCAGAGAGAACAATGATTTGCGCCACGTGGGGGAAGAGAGGCAAGCGGTTGGCGGCCTCCCATGCGGACACGGCATAGTGCTCTGCCACCGGCTCGTACTTGGTGTAGAGGTCACGGCCCACAGGCTCGTACTTGGTGTAGAGCTCACTCACCGCCTCGGTGACTCCAGATCGGCGGACCTCCGAAGCAGCAGCACAGAGTTGGCTCGAGGCAGTCTTCACCAGCGGTGGTACATAGGAATCCAGCTTCGACACCGTGTCGTCTACCTGCGCACCAAATTGAGACACCAAGTTACCTTAGCAAGAAGATGGTAGTTTGGAAACTCTGCCCCAATTTTTATTTTTTTTTTCGTTTTCTAAGAGAGTCCTCCTAATTTACACTTATTACCCCTTTTTTTCCCCGCCAGACTTCAAAATCAGCATCGAAACGGTTTGGAATTTTAGGCTAACCAATCGGTTCAGATTTTGAAATTCTGAACCAGCATATTTCAGTCCTGGGATTTTAGGATTTGAGAGCCAATCTTCACCAACTTACCTTAATCCCTCAGTCCCCAAATTCAAATAAACAGATTTAGAACTTCAAAATCCGAACGATAGATTTGTATTTAGCATTTCAATTTCCAAACCAATTTATTAATAGTTCCAATTCTAATTTGGAAAGTGCAAATCAATGGTATATTGAGAATTCCATTTCTGTATACCTCTTTTAAAGTTCACTAGTTTTTATGGCTTAGTTGAATTTTTACTTCTTTTTTTTTATTATTTTTACTTCCACCCTTTTTCTTTTGAATGCTCAACGTATTTTGGCTAACAGGACTCGAGTGAGTCGCAGGTTCTAGGCTGTGTCCGTGGCCCAGCCGAGATTCAAACCAGAGACGATGAAAAAGAAAAAATAAAATAAAACCTATGAACATGGAAAGAAGCATTAATAAAGAAGGTGATTATAGAACAGGAGATAAGACTACCTTGCCATCAGCAAAGAAGAGGAGATCAGAGGGGAGGTGATGGAGCTTCTGATACACAGGCCCTAACACAGTCTTGACGCTGCCCTCAACCGTCTGAACACCAGGCTTCAATGGGCCAGAATTCTCCTTCGCATAATCATAAACACGAGAAACGCATGCCACTGTGAAGGCAGTGGCGCACCTAAAGAAATCAAGATACTTGAGCTTCTTCTCCTCCTGCATGGGAACAACATCACTCTGTATCCATTATAACATAACAAGTCAGCTAACCCACACCCATTGCCATACCATAAACCACTTGAAATACAATTAAAATAACATTAAAAGAAGCTGACACGATGAAACCACCTAAAACACCGCTAAATCAATAAAAGCACACAAAACAGAAAAGAAACCAGCTTAGAAGTTAAACCTAAACCCCGCCCTGATAACACCCCATAACACTACCGAAAAAAAAAACAAAAATCCCTTAAAAGTGCCTAAACAAAAATTTAGAGAAACCAATTAAAAACAAAATTACCACCAGTAAAACAGCAAAAACCATCACCACTTAAAAACTAACTCCAGCCGATCAAAATAACAGGTTAAAAGCAAAATCGGGTGAGCACAACCAGTCTACTCCCTACATAGCATCGCCGCGAAAACGATCACAAAGTATAGCAAGGAAAATGTGAAGTTACCGAGTAATATCATCAGTGCGCATGGACTTGTGCTAAAAGGTCCTTTAAAAAAATAATAATAATAAAAATAAAGAACAATGTAAAAGTAAATTCAAAGGAGTCCTGGCACACTAGCTGCATACAAAGACCATGGGAAAGGAGGCTTCTGATCGTAATCCCAACAGTCCATATCAACCACAATCGGTTTCCAGTTCAGGGTAAGTGACTTGGTACAAAAGCGTAAAAAATCCGCAAATTTATTATCTTCTTCGGTTTTGTCAAAAACAATTACAATTTCAGGTTACCAATTTCAGTTTTAGGACAAAAACATCGAGTCCTTACATAAAAAAACAAAAAAATAAAAAATGCGCTTCAAAGTACAAATTGTCTTAGATCACAACAGGAATGCTCCACTTCCCACAAATGCCCAGCAAATACAAAGCAGCGGTAAAATCAGCGTTAAAAAAAAGTGGCCTTCAAAACCGAGGCGCCACGTAACCCGTAAACCCTCTCCAGGCAAGTCTAAAAAATACTAAAAAATATAAAAATACATATTTCAAACATGCTTAAACAAAGCAAATCCAAATGATTAAACAAAGTACATGGAAGTCAAAAAGGCCAAAAATGGATTTTAAAAAATGGGTATAGTTTTTATAGAGTTGAGGCTCTAAACAATCAAATTACAGCGTGCCTTAAAATAGTGTGGAAAAATATGGTTTTAATAGTGAAAATATTTATGATTGCCTTAAAATATATTTTTATTTTTAATTATAAAATTTAAAGCTTCAAAAATAATGTATATTGAAGACATCTATGAAAATTTGAAAATTGAAGGGTTAAAATTAAATTGTTTGGAGGGAACTTTTTCGTGTGTCAATGGTATTTTTGAATTTTTTAAAAAATTAAAAATTAAAAAAAAAAGGGAAATGACCTTGTGAAAGGTCTCACACCCTTGCGTAGAAGACCCCAAAAGATCACCATTAAACTTGACATAGATCTCTAAAAAAATTTGAAATTTTTCTAAAAATTAAAAAATCTAAAAATAAAACGTGTAAAAATAAAAGAAAATGACTTTGTGAAACCTAAAAAGTTATCACAATGGGTGTGGGACTTGACTAATGTAGATCACAATGGTTGTGAGATTAGAAGATATGTGTGAAATTGAATGGTGATCTTTTGGGTCCAATGGTTGTAAGATTAGAAGATATGTGTAAAATTTAATGGTGATCTTTTGGGGTCTTATACATGAGTGTAGGATGATCTCATATCATCATGATTCAAAAATAAATGTTAATGGCCAAAAATAATTTTTTGCACAAAAAATAAAATAAATAGATAGACATTCAAAAACACATTACAAACACTCTTATTTTTTGTATTTATATTTTTTTAATATCCGACCAAACCACCAAAACGGGCCAAATACCATATCACGGCCAGTGCCCCGTTCCGGTTTGACCGGCAGGTACCGAGTTCGACGAGACTTGGCAAAATTGGCAAAAATTGAAATAGATTGAACTGTATCACCAGATAATTCTATTCCGTCGTAACCCGCAAAAAGATCCATCATGGACCACTCAGGAAGCCATGAAGCACAAGAACATTTCAATTTTTCATCCAAATACCCAAAATGCCCACTCAAGATCCCAAGTTCGAAAACCTGAACAATAAATACAGAACTTCTATTTTCCATATTTTTTTCAATGAAAATCAACCAATCAATTCATTATATCTTCTATAAGCCCTATCACATAAAACGATCTACAAAGCCATAACTAACGAAGATCCCAAAAAATAGACCTACAACATAAAACGATCTACAAAGCCATAACTAACGAAGATCCCAAAAACTAGACCTACAAATAAACAAACCAGAAGTTTCAAGTAATAGAAACCTCAAAAATTATCAATCTCAACAAAAATTACAACAAGAAATCTAAATAACGGTAGTTCTTTCTTCCAAAAGAAAGAAAGCTGCTTAATAACTCCCAAATCTAAAATCCCACACCAGAAACCAGGGAGCGATCTCAACAACTTTGAACTCAATTCAATTTTCTCCTTTTAATATATTCCGTATCTGAAAATCCTAACCAGACAAAAATCATCAACCCAAACATCACCACAAGCCCTACGTTTACCCGAAAACCAAAATAGAAGCAACAGAGACCTTTATTTTCTCTTAAAATTCAGAAACTCAAACAGGAAACCACATACCTCTCCAAACAAAAAAAAAAAACTGATCATTTACTAGACTGAAACTTCCAATCTTCATTGAAAATCAAGGCGAAAACAAATGATTCTTACCGTTTCTGATTGCCTTGAACTCACATCCGCCATCTCCAAAGTTCAAAATACTCCGAAAATAAAAATCACAAACAAAGTAAGAAAAAGTTACAGGAAAGTTTGAAGAAATATACGAGAGACGAGCGCAACGAAAAGATTCCCTCCGTTTGAAAGAAGCGAGATCTTGGAAGACGAATAGGCTCATTTATAGACGGATATCGTATCCGGACCGTCGGTCCCATTTGATCGGACGGATGTTATCGCAATACGATTTGACACGTGTTCGATAACTAGACGTTTATCGAGCTTGCGTTTGCTTCGAACGGCCTGCGATGGAGATGCGCTGACCAGTGAGCACTTCGAGGCGAAGTTATGGAATCGGGAACAATGACTATAACATCCCCATTGTTTTGAGAATGACTAAATGGTCCCCTGCTTTTTTTCTAGAATGTTCTAGAAGTTTGAAAATACCCTTCTGTGACCTTTCGTGTGGTTTGACTTTCCACCCTGGTATTGGCACTAAAATTTCGATCGAGGCCCCAACCCATCTCCACCTTTAGATTGACAAAATTAGGGTTAGGATCATGCTGAGGTTACTACACGGTGCTACACGAGTAAGGCGCAGCTTTAAATTTTTTAGAAAGATATACTTTTAGTATTGGAAACTTTAAAATGACTTGAAAATCTACGCTCTTTAAAAAAAATAGTACAGATCAAGAAGAAAATCTTAAAAATATATGATATAGACAACTTGTTATAAAATTTACTATTTTTAAAAATAAAAACGTTTGAAAATCTATATTCAACTCTAATTATGAAATTTAAAATTTTAAAAATAATGCAGATCGAACATAAAAACTTAATAATATATTATCTAGACAACTTGTTATCGAATGTACTATTTTTAAGAATTAAAACTCCTTTTAATATAAGGTTGTGGTTGCAATAGTGGAAGGAGTTATTATGATTGCATTATTTAAGGTTGCAATCTTATATAAATATGAGGTTATATCTATAATATAAGGTTACAATCTTATATAAATTTTTCCTTAAGAGTTATTGTGGTTGTATTATTTTACAAATTATACTTTCATGGAAGTATAGTATTCATTTACTCCACCAGGTAAAATTCACTATTGGAGTATTTTTAGTGCTTCAAATTTTTCGAATACAACCCCTTCAACACGTAGACTAACCACGCTAATGGCTTTAAAAAGGTTGATGTCTCAAGATTTCACCTCTATATACTATTTTGATTTATGATCGTGTAAATATCCCACAAGAAATAGTATACAAGAAAATCCTTTTGTGCAGTGAAATGATGGAACAAGTTTTCTAGATGTGACACGAGCCATTGATTTAGGGCGCATTTGGCTAGGTGGAGACACACGATAATTTGTCGAATCAAAATAGGGAATTAGTCTCTATACTTGCCCTGAAGAAGCGACATAAAGCTCTATGCTTTGATGGAATGGAACTCAATATATCACATTATGGCTCCCGACCACCCTAACCATTTGGTCCTAAGCTCATTCATGTACCATTAAAAACAGCTCAACAATTAATTACACTTTGATAATTTATGTATCCACATTCAAGAAGTTCAAAATTGAACATAACATCATGTCATTTCAATTGAAGGCGTTTGATGGCGATGTGGTTTCCAGCCCAATAACCATGCAGTTTCTTAAGGGACTTTGAAAAAGGTAGAATCTTGAGGGGCTTCTAGAAGTGAATGGAATTGTATACTATAAGATCATTCACATTTAGTAAATGAAGTTTATAAATTGCCTGACATTTAGTAAATGAAGTTTACAAATTGCCCCAGGCTGTTAGATGTTAAATCATGCCGTGAGAATTTTTGTAATAGAGATTGTGATTAACTATGTCAAAAAAAAAATAGAAAGAAAAAAAAATGAAAAATTTTATATAAGGTTATGGCCCTAAACAATAAAATTATGGCGTACCTCAAATATTCTCAGGAAGAGGTTGCTTCGATGTTGAAAATCCCTCAAATTGATCATCTCAACCTCGAGATGTATGGACGTGAAAGAAAAAAATGGTTTCAAATATGGAAATAATGCATCTTGTAATACATTATTTGGGCAGTCAATTTTCAATATTTTCAAAATGTTTATAGATTTATTCGATCTACACTATTTTTAAAGCTTTAAATTTTATAATTAGCTATGAAAATAAATTTTCAGGTCCTCGCAAAGATTTTTGTTACTAACAACCATATTTAAACACTATTTAGTGGTAAGTCTTACTGTGATTGTTTAGGACTTAACCTTATATAAATTACACCAAAAAAATATATTATTAGACTTTGTACGCTCCCCTTAACCATCAATCACACATCTCTACCATGGACACTACAAAAGGTTACCTCCACTAAAAAGCCAAAATGGATGGTGGAGAAAAAGATTTTAAAACATCAATTTTTATTCTTCAGAAAAAATAAAATTCTTGATTGATGATCATCCTGGTAGTTGAGATTAATAAAACCAAAAATTTTAGATCCAAATTCTATATTTAATATGGATTTTTAAGGGGAGCTGCTTATAAATAGGTGAGTCGGTTGACTCACAATTTTCCAAAATGCCGCTACTTCATATATTGAAAGCCTGAAATAATAAATAAATTATTGACTTTGGATCTTCAAAATTAAAAGCTAAAATCCCAAGTTCACTTCGGAACTTGAACTTATGAAGTCAGAGTAAAAGTTTTTCATGACTTTGATCCAAAGTTGACATCACTTCAAATATTTAAGGTTATAAATTGAGGTATTTTGAAAAAAAAAAATAAGAAAAAAAAATGCATGAAAGTAGAATACAAAATTTTATAGAATACAAAATTTTTTGAAAAAATTGTAATAACATATATCTTGGGGGCATAAGAATAATTTTCTCTTCATTATATGAGGTTTAAATTTTGAAGGTGAATTGCATGACGAATGAAATTCGTATAAGATATCCACTTTAAACACTCAAGTAATGTTCACCTTAATACCTTGTTAAAACATGTAGTTTTAGTGTTGAGAATTCATATAATTCCTTAAATATCTATATATGCTCGTATAAACGTCAAAGTTCTCAAAAAACGGTGTAAATCAAACCGATAAATAAATATTTAAATTTTTTGAAAATGAATGGTCTAGATAATTTATTACAAAAATTTACTGCTTTTAGGACATGAAATCATTTTCTTTTTCATATTCATGCATTTTGAAGTCGAGATGAGCAATTGAATGATTTTTTAATGTCATAACAACCTTTCATGATGACTTTTTAAATTGGGATTGTCTACAAAGAGACTATTTGTCTTTTATACGTAGAAATCACAATTATTTTTGTCCCTTAAATTTCATAATGGGTGGTTATAAGAGTGTCATTGAATAGACACAAAATTCCAAAAACAAATTCTCGGACTTGGTTACTCACCCCAAGCCATCCAAATTAGCATCTAATGAATGAAAATGATTGTGATATTTATGTATAAAAGTTAAATGGCCTCTTTATAAATAATCCCTTCAAAAAGTTATGTCTTACTTCGTATAACTTTGACGCTTATACAAACTTTCTACCAAAACATATTATACTCCCGCACATTAGAATGTCCATTGACCCCTTTGGGTAATTCCCCAACTTAAATTAATTTCAAGACCTCAATATTACGATAGATTAACTTTAATAAAAATTTTTTTTCTAATTATACCTTCCATGCACTTGAAAAAAATAATATCTTAGGATTAAATAGAGACCATCTAGATTTTAGATTGTGATATCTAGGTGTGTTTGAAAACTCAAAATTTAAATTTTACTGAAAATAATCATCAATTGGTTATTAAATAAGAGTAATTTCAAAAAAATTATATTAAAAAAATCTCTAGCCCAAGTAAACCATGCTATAGGGGGAGCCCATTGTGCGCGTTTATAACTTTTTTTCTTGAACAGAAAAGTGGGGAGGGGTACTGAATGGTCATTTAATAAATGTACGGGGTATTGGCATGGAAACTGCAAGGATAGAATGGTGTTATTTAGCAGAATCAAAGTCTCATTTTGAGAGGTTGAGCGATTCGATGGAAGAGGTACGCGCACCACGCTCCGGCGGGCAAAGTAGAACCCGCGAGATCCAACGGCTGTGGCTGTTTGCCCCCGTTGGCCTGCTAACCAGGCACACCGTCCGATACATGTTGCCGACACATAGATTGATGCAAAATACGTGTGCCTCTTGAGTTTTCCCACGTATGCATAATGACATGTGGACATCCTAAGTGGCTTGTTCCCACGTGGATGAATCTTGGCCCTCCCGGTGAATTTTGGCCAACAAATTTCGCTAACGGTCCTGATCTTTTGAGTTGTATACAATGAAGTCGATCACCTTTTGTGCCGGAGTTCACTTGTTTATAGCCATCCCATGTGAAATATGATAGTTTAGGTATGTCACCAAATTTGAAACGAAAAATTTGTCAATTTTGAGCTTGTTCAATAAAAAAAAAATGCAACTACCCAATTTTACATTTAATAGTCCAGATTAATTGTGACCACCTTGTGTAAAAAGTAAATGGTCTCACTATTTATTTTTCTTTTCAGAAATGTTCTATTTTAAAAGTTCCAATGAGATTATTTATTTTTGATACAAGAGTGTCACAATTACTTAAAGGGCAAGCTTAATATGCTTCCCCTTCAAAATAAAACTTATATCTTTCCCCGAACCGATCATTCTGAATTGAAGGTGAAGATTGTCCCAATCACAATGTCACGTCTCTACACTATTTTATATTTAATTTTTTTTATATGAACTATTTTGACACCAAATTTTGCACGTCCAATCTTCTGTTAAACACGCACTAGCGAAAAATATATAAAAAATATTTTCAATAAAATAAAATGATTAAAATACCGTGAAAGTTTTAAAGGGCATTTTACTTATTATATTTTATCGAAAAATTATTTTTAATATTTTTTATAGGTGTGCCCCAATGAGAAGATAACGCGCGCCAAATTTCATATTCATATAATTTGTATAAAAAAACTAAAAATAAAATACTTTGAGACGTCGAATGCTCTCTTGATAAAAATTGGACGGCTGGATGGTAGGGGAAGCATAGATCTTATATGTTGTAGGGGAAGTATAGAAATCATTCACTTACTTATAACCATTCAATGCGAAACTTGATAATATGGGTGTGTAACAAAGTTTGAAAAATTTTATTTTGAAGTTTGAGTTTAGTCGATGAAATAAATGCAGCCACCCAATTTTACATCCAATGGTCAAAATTAGATGGGACCACCTTATACCCAAAGTCGTTAAAAGTCTCATTTACTTTTCCAAAAATTCCAAAAAAACTAAAGTTAGCACCTAACTTGTAGGAATGGGAATGTACAACATGAGATCATTTGTTTTTTGTACAAAGAAGTCTCACTTACTTTAACCATTAAATGTGAAATCTAATAGACGAAAATGTGTCATAATATTTGAGAACTTTTATTTTGGAGTCTTGTGTGATACATCCTCAATCACCGGATTTCAAATCTAATGATATAATGATACTTGTAACTTCCTTATACCACCAAAAATAAATAGTTTCATTGTATATATTTCCATAAGATTATATACTCCTCAACATATCATCAATTTTTAGACCATCACGTCCAAATTTTTGAAAATTCAAAGTCGAATTTATTTTCTTAAAGTACTTGATCACGTAATTTTCTAACCGTAGTTATCGAGACACGAGACCCACATGAACCGCAGACTGCCAACCGATGCCTTGACCAGTCCTTGACTAATCTATCCAATTGGTCCGAACGATGAAGTTGAGGATTTTCTATTATTATATTTAAATTATTATTTTTAAAACTTTTACAAGAATTTATTCATAACTAATTTGTTCATTAAAAAGATCGATTTTGATTAGACCATATCCTCAACCAAATAGTAAGTTTGTCTCAAAATTTCACTGTTCAAAAAAAAAAAAAACCTGAAACTTCGAACGGAGAAAGCAGGTCATTTGCCCTATGTCTCAAGATGGTCCAGTATTTGACTCTATGCTTAGAGGTACGAGATAGTCCATGAGTAGTCAATGTAAAACTATTTTTTCTCGTGACTTTCTTGAGTGCTCAATGACCTACTCCTCCGGAGGATAAAGACCAAACCCCAAGAAAAATAATCAAAGATGCACTATAAAAACTATTATACTACAAGTATTGGGCAACATCAAACATAGGACAAAATTGACGTTTCGCGAAGATTAAGATTGATGTAAACATAAACAGTAAAAAAAATTGAGGTCATTCAAAGTCTTAAACATTGTGAAACAAGTAGACTAAGCTTGGGAAAGGTGTTTGAGTCGTGGTAGTAGCACCCCACACCTTAGTCACCAAATTGTGATTTTCATTCTCACTACTAATACCTAATAGCTTAAAAAAGCTAACTCTTAATTTATTTGAGATTTCCCGTTGAATTACTCAAGATGTGACCCCAATCACCACATTGTGATTTTCATTCTCACTACTAATACCTAATAGCTTCAAAAAACTAACTCCTAATTTATTTGAGATTTCCCGTTGAATTACCCAAGAGGTGTGACACGAAGTTTTTTAATCTAATTTTAAGAGCTCTCTCTCCCCCCTCTTATCCACGTCTCTCTCTCCCATCCACTTCTCTCTTATTTAATTCTCTCCTCTTTTAGAATATCTCATGTTTATCTTTACTTGATTTTTTCTCTCGAGCTAACTTAGTTTTCTCTCCCAATAATATATGCACACAATAGGAATCAACTCATGGCTAAGTGATCAACACGGCAAGGCGCCACAACATGACCTCTCGTATTATATTTCTATCACGGGTAGAGACCCCATTCCCACTAAACCACCCAAAATATAAAAAATGCACACATTAATTTTAGGATTTAACTCTCTCTCTCTTATCCACATCTCATTCTTTCTCATCCACTTCCATGTCTCTTTCTTTCTCACCCTGCTCTTTCTAATTTAATTATCTCTAAATATCTCCATAAATTTTTATTAATCTCTCTCTCACATTCCTTTCCCCTCACCTACTAATCTTAGGAGTTAAACTCTCTCTCTACAGTAATTTTAAGAGTATTTATACCCCACAATCTGTCTAAAGTCCTCTACAGTATTTTTAAGAGTCTTTATACCCCACAATCTGTTTAAAGTCCTTAATCTGACCATATCTATCCACCCTTTAACTTTAGCTTAATAATATATTACGATATGAATAAAGAATAATATAAATAAGCTTGTAAGGAAGTAAAAAGACTCCCACCCTAAACTCTCACTGTATAAATGCCTTAACCTAAGCTTCCAACTGTGACTTTATGCATGTAAAATAGATGCCTCGAGAACCATTCCTAATCTCAAATTGCGCCTCTCAATGTGAACATTTTAAGCACTTACCAACACAGGCAAGGCAATCTTGAAAAGCGTTTTCACAAGAGCAGGTATATTGATTATAAAACAAACAAAGCAGAGGACAGCCATTAACCCTGCTCATGTACCTTGATCATTTACTTTTTGTTGCATTTTAACAAAGTGAATTTTCTTAAAAAGAACGAGGAATTTTGAACATAATAGAAAAGGAACCCCACGGATTTTAGTTTCTTATACTCCAGGTTGTTGATTGAAATAAGGGATTATATACAATGAGACCATTGACTTTTCATACAAGGTCACAATTATTTAATGGAAATTTGATAGCTTGAGAATTTTTTTTTTGAAGTTTGAGCTTGGTTAATGGAATAAATGCAAAGATTAATGATCAAATTTCACATTCAATGATCAAGATTAATTGTAACAACTTTGTACCATAGGTAAATGGTCTCTTTGTATATACTTTTCCTACTTTTCCTTAAAGTAACTTCCCCAAAGACAAAAAGTAAAATAAATTTGGTTCGCAGTACAAACACCAAGGGAACAAAAGGTTGCCTTGTAAGCAACAATAGAATATGAAATGCAATAAAGAAGGGAGCTCGAGTTAAGCAAACCCATTAGCCTATGGAGCATCCATGATCCAAGCACTGTTGGATAATGCATATTGGATGGTGGGGATTGGAGATTGGACCAGAGAAAGATCAATATTACACATCATGAACACCCGGTCCGATTTCCCACATCAATAGTTGGTTGGACGGTAGATGCTACCTATGGAGTATGCAACATGATACAACATCATACGCCCTTGAGAGCACAACATGATTTTAAGTGTTAATTGTAAAATAGAAATATACTTACTCCATGGAGCATACAACCATATGCTCTAGGCACCAAATGCAGGAGACCTACTAGGTTTGCACCAAATGCAGGAGATTTGTGACATGTGTGCAGCATGATTGGACCTATCCATTCCATGCTACAGTATGTCACCTAGAGAGCTTACTACGCTTTCCAATGTAACTATTCTTTTTAGAAAAGAATAATTTAGGAGCTTCACAAATATATAATTCCCATAATATTTTCAGTAAAAACTAACCAAATCTTTAGGTTGTAGCTTTTTACATACATACATATGCAGTTAGTTCGCGGTGTGACATTACTCTCAATCCCAAGCTGTCTTAGAATTTTTTAAATTTTTTTGCAACGAACTAGCTCTTCTCATCCAAGACCCATCTCGAACAATCAGTGCACAAACTAAAACTCAAGTTCTTTTCTAGGATGCAACTATAAACAGAATCACCCAGCTTGGTTACTAACAAATCTGTAATTAAGCTGATGGTCTCATACAACCTAAAGTTTGAATATCTCATTTTTCTAAATTGAGATAATAAGCCTCAATGAGACTACCCAAAAACAAAATTTATATCACATTTATATGATTCAGAAGAAATAAATCCAGTATAGAAAACAAGATACATAGAAGATGGGAGGTCTCACAAGGCATTTATTATCCTCTTCATCTCAGCAGACCTTCTAGGATCTGGCTCCTGCATTGCTCTCTCAGTAAGCACATGCTTGATACGACACATTGACTTCCTCACCTGAAATTTGACAAAAAGAAGGATTAGGAATTGTAACCTTTTTTTTCTGTGTTGGGGTTGGGAGTGAAGGGGGGGGGGGAGGATAGATTGAAGAGTGAACATCAGTTACTGAACATCTCATAAGTAGAATACGAGCACCCAGAAATTGAAAACTTTGAAAAAAAATTTCAACCCAAAAAATACCAAGTAGATTAACTTTCAATTTTGCAAGAAACCAAAAACTTCGTAAAAAATATTTCGATCTTGAGAAAGATCTGGGTGGTGGGGGGTTGGGATTGCCCCCCAGAAAGCCCTTTCGAAATTTTCTAGGGGGGAAAATGACATTTTTTGCTTTTGCCCTTAGGGCCTTTCTCCGCCAATGTTATCAAATTCACTTCGCTTCGGCGGAAGAGGCCGAAGCCTTCGGATTTTAAGCATAAACCGAAGCGAAGAGAAATGTGGCGCTGTCGGTTCGGTTAGATTTGGGCTACTTTGGCCTAATTCAGTCAGCTTCGGCCAAAGCTTCAAGCTGCTTCAGTCAGAAAAGAAATACCTAGATAAAAGTTATTTTTGAAAAATAATTATTTTTTTAAATTTTATTTTTTAATTTTTTCCATTATTTTTATATATTTTATATATAAATATTTAATTTATTTATAATAAATTAAAAAAAAAAGTCCGAAGTCTTCCCCCCGAATCGGCCGAAACACTGAATTGCTTCATTTTTCTTACCAAACCGAAAAAGACTCTGAAGCGAATATAACAACATTGTTCTCCGCCCTCGGCCAAGGATATCACAGTGCTACCTAGGGCACCCACCAAGGCCTCTATTATTTTTCGAGAACTGATAAAGACTACGAAATTACACATAATATGAGTGTTACTCACATGATTCCTATTTTGATTACTCATGGAGATAATGTTAGAAAAAGATAAGAATATTGCAAAAATAGGGATTAGGGACTCCTTAGGCAAGGGTTGACTGAGTGTGCAGGGAAGCATGAAGCCTTCCGGAATTTGAGAAAGCAAGCACACAGACATGTTTCATCTGAAATCATGGTAACATAGGCATGAAAGGGGAGAGAAAATCTCATAAACATAGACTAGTTTAGGTATTCCCTAGTATAACCTCCCTAATGACCCAGAGCCTAGTCAACCCAAGTTCCCCCGCAATCTCCAATTCCCCCCGCAATCTCCAATTCCCCTAAAGGAGAAATTACAAATGAGAAATAGTAAGTTCCATTAATTCTTTGAGTGAAAGATAAATTTTCTTTGTGAACGGCTCATAGGTAAACAGCTCATAGCAAAATTAAAAATCCTAAACTAAGAAAGGTGGAAAACATAACAAGAGATCCTACATATTACATACCTTGGGAACACGCTCTGGATTAGGAAATCGGTGATTTTGGGAATGAAGCATTTGCCTTTGGGTCATTAGCATATTTTTCTCTTTCAAAAGAACATACCATAACTTTTGAAGATCATCCCATGACTTAAGACGCAGCTCGGAAGCCTTCCAACCTCGACCTATACAGAGAATAATAGTACAGATGAAAACGAGAAATGCAGATATTGTTTAGTACCAATAAAATCTCATAATCCAATGAAAAATACACCAAAAATCTGAACCATAGTTTTACACTGATTGACAAGGGCTCCTCAGGAATTCAACATTTCCTGAAAATATATTTGATGATTCAATGGAGTCTTGAAAAGATAAAATCACTTGGGACAATAAGAAATCCGAGTCATACCTGGTACTTCTCATCAACAAAAATTAGAAAGCTTTCATGCGGAATTACCTGAAAGATGCAGCTTTTCAGTTTATTTCTAATGGTCAATTTTCTAATAAATTCATCCCTTGTACATATGATGCATCTTTGACACCGCTACTTTGCTTCAGTCAAAATTTTAGCTACACAAACTGAGACCCAGCTCAAAATACTTTTTGAGTGTTTTCTGCAACAGTGGTTTTCTACTTAGCTAAGGAGGTGGAAGAGTATGCTTTTGAATAACCCAACATACTATGCAGTATTTTAGCCGACCTCAAATAAATGGGATAAGACATGGCAATGATGAATATTTGCAGTATTTACAAAAACTTTCAATGTGAACTGCTCCCACTAGGGTTACTTGTAAACACAATGTAACCAAGTGATTTACCAAAAAAACATAATCCAGTGGGGTATCTAAAAGAGAGGAATAGTCTCTTCTTGGTAAATAGCAGTAGGGTCCTAGCCAATGGTGTCCAACCATATTTCAGCCAAACTGAAGTGTGCTTGTGGGAGAACTACAAAGCTAATAATTAGTGTCATCTACAGAAAAATGGTTTCCAATGATTTCTGGACTTTCTCAAGTTTTTGCAAACAACTTTTACCTCAAATTTTCATATTTCACCCATCATAAACATTGATCATTTTTTCTTCGAAAATAACAAAGCCACAGATACTCCTTTGGAACAACCAAAAGCCATCTAAATAGAAGTGAGTTTCATGCCTAAAGCAAGTTGAACTTACTAATACAACAAAGAAAAATTTGGATTTACATTGGAATGACAAGTGATATGGAACCTAAAGGCAACATTTCTTTAGATAGTTAATAGCATACATGCAAAAGAAAAGCAAAAAGAAAATTTTCTATCCCTTCACAGAATTCCCTCATTAGTTTGAGGTTTTTACTAAACATAATCTTTACAGCTTCCATCATTGAATTGAAATGAGACCAACAGGAGGCTATTATATTATGTATAAAAACATAAAGGACGAAAACCTGAATAGGTAACTAAACATAGATCACAAAGACCAAAACTTTGAAGGGGCCAATTATCTCCTTTGTGACTCATGCCAAACTCCTCTCTTTACAGTGGATTATGAGATGATATAAGGATGCAAAGAAGAATATGAACACATATCTCCTGTGATACCGTAACAAATGAACCCCTTTCGTACACAGAAAGATAGTGAGTCAAGTTTTTTTTTTTAAAATTGTTAACTGTGTTGTATTAAAGGGGGGAAGAGGTATACATCGTGTCTACGAGAACACCCACAAGCTCGTCAAAAAATGGGATAGACCAAAAGGCCCTATACAAAAAATGAGTGGGTCTTATAAAAATGCCCAAACCAGAAGATGTACATGAAGAGCACGAGTTCCAAAAATAGGTCCTGACTACTATAATCCAAAAGAGGGACCTCAAGGATTATCCGAATCCTCAGTGGACTGCAGGTCCAGAACTTGAGCGACCGCTCCTTCCTTCGCAAGACGGTCCGCCAGATCGTTTGATTCCCTCTAGATATGCCTCCATAAGACGACTGTACCCCTGCAAATGTGACAAATCTCGTCATAAATCAGAGCAAGGTACCAAGGCGTAACAGATTTCCCCGAAGCCCATGAGTAGATGACATTATGGGCATCTCCTTCCACTTTTAAAGGTAGGCCCCAAACAGGGTTAAAGAGTTTGAGGCCCATTAGGAGAGCTAATTACTTAGCCGACTGGGAGTCAAAATGGCCAAGAGACTCGAGAAGGTGGGCAGGACGTTGCCTCCGTGATCACGGAAAGCAACTCCAGCACCGGCTAGGCCAATGTTTCCGAACGAACACCCATCAAACTTCAGTTTAACAAGCCCAAACGGGGGTGGAGACCAGTTATTTGCATGGCTAATCCTCGGTGTATGGAGGTTGAGGAGGTTTTCCCAATCTTGTAGGAAGGACGCTGCTGAGATGCCTTTAAAGGCTTTGTGATTTGAAGCCCAGAAAATGACCTAGGCTGTGCTCTTGTTGAATAGTGCTGCGGGTTCACATTTGACACCTTGAAAAATCCTTGCATTTCTCTCTAGCCATATGACCCAAATAGTAGCAGTCATGGAGGCTTTCCATAAAAGCCTGCCTGCTTTAGGACAGTGAGAGTCTAAAGACATAGAGAGGAGTGCCTTAAAAGGCTCTGGTATAACCCAAGCGAGTCCAAAAAGGCAAAGGATGCGACTCCAAAGGTTGAGTGCCAGGCTGCAGTGAATGAAGAGGTGTGAGTTGCTCTCTTCTTCACATAGACACATCACGCATCTATTCAGAATGGGAATGCCTCTGCGTTTCAGTTGGTCAACAGTTAGTGCCTTCTCGGAGCATGCTAACCAATTGAAAACATGGACTTTAGGTGGGGATATGGTGTACCACACCTTGTTTACCACCGAAATGGGGTTGTAAGGGTAGGTGGGTGGTTGCAGCAGTTTTTTGTAGAAGGAAGCCACATAAAAGACACCAGAGGGTGAGGAGTCCACACTATCCTATCTGTGCCATTGAGAGGCAGAAAATAAGAGCATAGCAAGGAAGACAAGGCAAGAAATTCGCTCTCCTCGCTAGCCGATAAAGCGCTCCTAAAGGAGGGTTCCAGACCCTTCTGCTGCCCGAGAGGGGCATCTCTGCCTTGATGGAGGTTGTAGGACTTGTAGCCAAAGAGAAAAGGGGAGGAAAAGAGTCCCTTAGGGGAGTGTGGCCCCACCCATAAGTCTGACCAGAATCTGATACTGTCTCCTCTCCGAGGGTGAAAGCGAATATTTTGCTTGAAGAAAGAGAAGGAAGACATCATCGATTTCCAAGCCCCGGAAGTCCTAGAAGGAGCATTCCCTTCGGGGGTCCACTGGGTAGGGTGGATTCTATATTTACTGCGGATAACTTGGGTCCACAGCAGGTTATTGTGGTTTGCCAGTCTCCACCACCATTTTCCGAGGAGAGCAAAGTTCTGTTTCCTCAGGAAACAAATCCCAAGCCCCCCCAGATGCTTAGGTTGACATACTTTGTCCCAAGATATGAGATGGAACTTTTTGGACTCGGCATCCCCCAACCAGAGGAAGTTCCTCATGAGCTGCTCAAGGCGGTTTGAAATAGCCACCGGCGTGTGGAAAAGGGACATAAGATAGGCAGGGGTGTTAGCCAGGGTCGCCTTAATAAGGGTAGACCTGCCAGCAAAAGAGAGGTAACGACCATTCCATCCTGCTAGCCGGTGGTCCACGTTATCAACAACATGTGACCACTGCCTTTTTCTTATGATTGCGCAAACCTAGAGGCATGCCTAGGTAACTGGTTGAGAGGTCTTCCACCTTGCAATCCCAATCAGGAATAAGAGCTCTAGTTTCAGCAGGGGTTAGAGCCACCCCAATCATGGTGGATTTCTCCATGTTAACTCTGAAACCAATGGCATATTCAAAACATCTGAAGAAGAGACGAAGGGTTGCAATCTCCTCGGTGACAGCATTGATGAAGACGAGTGTATCGTCTGCATACTGAAGGTGGGTTATGGTCAGACCTCTAGGACAACTATTAAAGCCTGAAAGAAGTTCAGCTTGGTAGAGACAAGAGATAGATTGGCTGAAGACTTCAGATGAGATTGCAAAGAGAAATGGGGACAGGGGGTCTTGTCAAAGGCCCCTTGAGGATGGGAAAAGCCTTTCGGTGAGCCATTAATGAGCATCGAGAATGAAGGATTAGAGTAGCAAGCCCTCATCCATTTGTGCCATCTCACCCCAAAGCCTATGGAAAATGCCTTGAAAAATTTGCTATGGTAACAATACTTAAACTCCAACCCTTTCACCTTCATTTTTTGACATATCAGTTTGGATGAGGGAGGACAAGCATTCAAACACTTAAAATTTGTTCCAAGAAGCCCTTAGAAGCTGACCTAGCCCTTTTTTTTTCTTAGTAATTGCAAAAGAACGATAAGAAGGAGATTAGAAGCACAGCTTCTATATGAAACTAACCTGGGAAAGTAAAGGCACCAGAAAGGCACAACCTTAATAAAGTGCAAGGACATTACTACCTGCTCAGCAATTAGTTGGACAGGAACTATAATAACGTGGAAACATAAGAAACCTGATCAGGTCAAGATCAAAGGCACGCGTTGTATGGAAAATTACTTGGTAAACCAGCTATAATTTTAGGCATTGATAGGGCTAGCATAATAAGCTAGCAATATTTTTTTTTTGAGAAATGTTAACAATATTCTCAGTGGAAACACAAGCATAAGAGGTTATGTTGACATGTATGAAGAAGAGTGCCAACTTTGATACTTGGTAACTAGCTATAATTTAAAACATTGACAGGGCTAGCACATAATAGACTAGAATATTCTCAGTGACACACATACATGAGAGGTTATGCATTGAGGGGAGGGACTTTCCAGCCTCTAAAATATGTCACGGATAGCCCTCCAAAGGACTCTATCTGATTAATTTGGTCATAAAAAGGAAACTTCAGTTGCTCTAAATTGATAATCTCTGATATTGGAGTAAAGGCAGGAATTAGACAAATATCCATTTTTATGCAGAGGAAGTAAATCAACAGATCATATATCCTCATGCATTGTAGGTTCGTCAAAAATAGTATGGAAGAGTAACCTAAGACTCATTCAATTCTTTGGGGTGATAGCTGATTTACTGTTAATTGGATGCAGACTCGGAGCGGGTGGTTAGAACTTAGAGACAATAATTCCTGATTACTACAGAAGACATCAGATTATTAAAAAGGAATAAATTCTCTTCCATGACTCTTTTCTTTCATTTTGATAAAAAAGTGCCTTGCACATCTTAGTAAGCCACATGCATTAAAAAGGCTGCGGCAAACAAGGTGGGGTAGTGATTGGAAATATCTCAAGATTGAAATTGAACCTGAGCCAAATGGGGTTTGACAGTGCGGTTGGGCATGAGTACTGAAAAATTATAAGGCGCTATGACGGTACAGCCATAGAAGATTTCATTTCGAAAGAAGTCCAAGCTCTGTTAGTGGATGGTTAGGAATTCCTTTCAAGCACAATTATCAAAGGGAACTCACTTAATGTCGTCGAATGACTCGAGAATGAATCACCTTTGTTCAGGGAGATGTTGACTATTTTTTCCTGAGATGTTTCATTTGTTAGCTGTAAGTGTAGTCAATGTAAAATGCATTTTGAAGAACACCAGCAGTTCCATGGCAAACAGCTTGGAGAATATCGGGGTCATTAGGGCGGGTTTGGGCTTGCTTGCCATTTCCCACCTTGATTATCAAGATGCAGCCTTGACCTTTCTTTGTGTTTAGAAGGAAACTATTAGTAATCAAATTAATAAATCAAATTTTTAAATAGTAGAATGCTTGTTAAATGACTTTCAACAAATTCCTGTTCACCCTGTGAAACAAAGCAGAACAGCTGAGAAAAAAGAGACATGCAATGAAAACTGATAAACTGTTCTGTTCATGTATGTGTGTGCATTTACAACTTACATAATCATGTTTGGCCATACAAATAGTGCATAAAACTAGCAGTGTCTTGGCACCATTGTTGCGAAATTGCCAACTAGGCAAACACTCATTGGCCTGTAACCTTGTTACATCAGAATACATGCATCTGGACTTGTTTTGTCCATGTTATTATCTCACTCCAATACATGGACACTTAAACTGGCACCTAGTCTATGCTCCAATGAAAGCATAGAACTAAAAAAGTGCAGTAACATCAAATAACCAAATAGACCTAAATATATTCTTACAAAAACTTACATTAAAATATTCATCTAGATATTACAAAGATTTATTTAAGAAAATAATTGCATACCATAAACCACAGGCTTGTCTTCATCTGGACTTCTATCAACCTCAAAGAATTCTTCTAACGGGTTGTGGGTTACTCTTGCAGAAGCTGCAGCAGCAGGAGCTTCAGACTTGACAGCAGTAAAAAGAGACCTCCCAAAAAACCTTGACAAGAGCATCGTGATTTCACTAAACTAAAGCTTCAAATAGCCATATAAGAGTTAGAATAAGCACATGAACTTCTCTAAAGTGGAAGAACAGATGAGAAAGCAAATTATAGGATATCAGGAACTCCTAATGACTCAGGAACACTAATGAGAGCCCTTTCCAATCACATACATTTGATATATAGTAACAACTGGGAGTCTTACTATGACATTCTCCACCATAAAAACATTCGTTATTGATAGAACAATTTAATGAAAAGAAAAACCATGGCCTCAATGTAGATAATAACAATGCATATTCCAATGAATTTCTAATATAAATTCAAACTTTTAGATGAAACAGGCAAGCTACGGATTCGCATCAGCAGACAAACAATTTCAAAAAATGAACACCCATTCGGAAATTTTTTTTCAGAAAAATCACCTATGCAATAACCTATTCGAGAACTCTCATGTTAAAAATGAGGAATCAGTAGAAAATATATCATCATCACCATCACCATCATCTGAGCCTTATCCCGACTATTTGGGGTCCGCTACATGATTCTTGTTCTACCATTCCACTTTATCGAGGGTTGTACACTTAGTTAGACCATAAGTCGCCATATATCTTCTCACTACTAACATCCACGTCCTTTTAAGCCATCCCCTTGCCGTTTTAGAACTTCCACTTTAACTAAATCACCCCTCCTAATCGGTGTTGTTCTATGTCTATCATTTCTTGTCTTGCCACTCATCCATCTCAATATCCTCATCTCAACCACACTCATTCTATGGATAATGTTGTTTCCTGACCGCCTGACATTCCGTCCAATAGAGCATGGCTGGTCCAATGTTCAAAAATGTGGATTTGGGCGCCTAGGCATTTTGGGTGCCTAGACGCCTAGGCGCCCACCTAGAGACAGGGTGCCCTCACCAAAATTGAAGCTCCCTTCCTCCCCTGGCCCCAAACAAAGAAAACAAGGGAGTTCTTAGGGCATGGTTTTAAGTCTTTAGGAGATTTTAGGGCAATTTTAGAGCCCCAAACTCCTCGTGAAATAGATGAAAATGTAATAGTACAATCACATAACATATTTATGGATACAAGTCTCAAAGATATTGTAACTTGTAAGACATTAAAATGCTTGTAATCTCACATATCCTTGTAGGAAACTAGATGTCTAGACTAGAAACGATACACAAAGTCAACAAGGCAAACTCAAAAAATATATGCATCAAGTCATCAACCAAACATGTAAATATATCATAAAAGAAAAAAAAAGGTCAAAGAAAACATATGATTCGCAACACAATATGTTGTAGCAAAATAAAATGAAAACACTCTTTCAAGTATGATAATACTTTAAAAATATCAAAATCAAAACGATGTTAGTGCAAACTTTGCCTATTGGGTCGCCAAAAGTCCTCAAAATCAACTACTAGAAGCTCTAAATCCACCCACGAACTATTGCCTTTGTTTTGGGAAGAAATCGCAAAAAATCAAAACTTTATCAATCTTTCGATAAGTCACAAAAGAGTAGTTTTTTGGAGAGTTTTTCTCACCCTCAAAGCCACGGTTTTTGTTTTGGGGGTTTAGAATACCCCCCAAAACCCTTTTCCCCCCTTTCTCGGGGGGGAAATGACATTTCTTTGACCCTCACCGAGGGTTTTTTTTGCCCTTCGGCAAACCGTCAGTGGGCAGCGCCTAGGCGGGCACCCGGAGACATGCCGCATAATTCCACCACCCAGACAGCGAAGCGCCTATGGGTTTTTTGAAATTTTCGGCCTAGGCGATCAGGCGGCCGAATTTTCAAACACTGGGCTGGTCTTACAACCATCCTATAGAATTTCCCCTGTCTTCTATCTCAATCGCTCTTCTCTTATTAACAAAATCTCTCCTTTAACCCCATCTTCTCTTCTCCTCTTCTTCCTCCCTCTCCATTGACCCATAATTCCCTCTCTCTTCTTCATCTCTAAACACCCTCTCATCTTCCCCCACCTTTCGCCTACTTGTCTTTCTCTCCTCCCCCTTTAAACACCCTCTCTTTCCCCCACCTTACGTCACACTTCTCCCTCTCCTATTCATCTCAAAAACTTCCAGTCTACTTCTCCCACCTTCCACCCCTCTTTCGAGGACCAATTTACCACCCTTTGGCAGACTAATCTTCGCCAGAAAGCTACCCACGAGCGCGATGACAAGATTGCTCACAGCCTGCTCTTCATTAGCCTTTGCCAATCCTTGTTAGAGTAAGTACAGTAGACAGGCCTTTTGGCAGACAAATCTCTGCCAGGAAGGGACCCCGTGCTTGAAGAAAAGCTCTCTCACATCCTGCTCTTCTTCAGCCCTTGCCTATCGTCATTTTGAGGATTTTATAGAGCTTGAATAGGATTGTCGTTGGAGGTTACCAATCAAACTCCTAGTGTGGGAGCTGCTCCAGACTTGCTTCTCACCCATAGGCACTCATTTCTCGAAACAATGACTTCTCCAGGCACCTAGACTTTGGTTTTGACAATCGATCGTTATTTTGGTTTTTTGGGGGCTTTAGCCTACTTCTTCTTGTTTCATTTTCTCTCCTTTCTTGTTATTTTCTCTCTCCTCAATACTTCTGCTATCTCGCTCCTTTTTGGTAAAATTGTATACTGAGCACCGAGCTTGTGGGATGCCATCTTTAGAACTAGAACTATGTAAATTCTTTCATTATTATAAAGCTACCCTTATTCAAAAAAAATATATCTGGTTAACTATTCCACTTCAATTCTTCAATTCTCCAATTTTCAAGGATGTTAGGCCTACCATAGCTGCATTTCTCTTAAGAAGTATTCTCTTTTTCATCAATTTCAATTCTACTAGAGCATTACCATTATAAATCACATTTTCAAGGCAACACAAACTCGATGAATAATCAAACTGTAATCCATACATACAAATTACGAATTATAATAATGCGAACGGTGTAATTCAAAAGATTTAAGCATTCAAAAGAAAAATTACAAATAGTGTAATTCAGAAAATTTAAGCATTCAAAAGAAAACCCAATTTCACCAACACAAATCCTCACTAATTGAGTGACCATAAATTTCATAAAATTGACATAATTGATAAATTTATCAAATGCAGCTAAAAGAGACCAATATAATATAAAAAGAGTGAATAAAAAATGAAGAGATTCACACCCAAAATAAGACCTCCCTTTGAAGTAGCTATGGGCCTCCATTGAATACAAAAAATGGAGTTTTCCAAATATTGCAGGGCCATCTCCACTGATCATTATCCATTGACCAATCCAATAAATAAACAAAATACAAAGTGGGTTTTCAATGGATTACTGAAAAAAAGAAAATAACTCTTATTATTTCCCTTTTGGAATTGTTATTGCAGTGGAACTCGTTATTGCAGTGGAATTAGGAGGTTAAAAAAAACTGCTTCCATGGGGCGGTAAAAAACAAACCAACATCTAAAAGGAAAAACCAGGAAAAATAAAACACAAAAACCCATACCCATGTTTTTTTACAGATTAAAATAGAGATTTTGTACACAAAAAAAAAAATACAAAAGAAGCATCCAAATTAAAAGAAAATTTCCAAAAAATACAGGAACAAGCTAGAACATACGAAAAAAAAAAAACTCACCTGTCACTGTAAATTTTGACTGCTACCGCCCAAACTCACATCTATATAGCAAATGGAACTTCTACAAAAAAAAGTAAAAGAAAACTAGTAAAAAAAAACAATAAAAAAAAAACCCAGAAATATAGAACAAAGAAAACCTACACCTTTTATTATTATTTTTACAGATAATGGAATGTTGTTGTGCATTTAACATGAGGAATCCTTATGCTATGGTTATAATGACGGTTCTATTTACCCCAAGTAAGCAAACCCACTTATCAAAGCTAGAAGAAATTTTGTTTTTTCCATTAGATGCTGACAAATAGAGCACACTGTTAGAAGAAATTTGTTTTTGTCATGGGATGCAGAGCAAATAGAGCACACCATCAATCTAATGGAGTCATCAACAACCTCATATGCAATGATTTATCTCAAAAAAAAAAAAAAAAAAATCACCAAAAAAGATAAAAGTAAAACCAGCAAAATGCAAAAGAAAAAAAAAACTTACATTTTTTAAGAAGATGAGGAATGTTGAAGATAATGAGCCTTCCGAAGTTATTCTCGTTTGAGATAGCCCGATAATGATAAGGGAGAGGGAAGGGCAGCGTTGAGGGAGAAGACAGAGAGAGAGAGTAGGGAGGTTTTGAGAGAGAGGCACTGCTTAGTTCTTTGTTTCAGACCCTCCCGTTCAACGCTTTTCTATTTGGGGGCGGTTTGTATAGAGCCTAGGCTCTAAACAAAATTAGACTTAGAGCGTTACATTCAAATAGTGTCCGGATTAAAATATATTTTCATATTTATAAAGTTTAAAGCTTAAAAAATAGTGTAAATCATATGAAAGCTTGAAAATCTTTAAAATTGACAGTTAAAAAATACGTTACAAAATATATTATTTTCAAAACTTTGAAATTTATTTTTTTCTCATGCCTATATGTCTTGATGTTGAAATTCTCAATTTGATGATATTTGGGCATCAAAACAACCTTAAAATTTTTTAGGTAAGCTCAAATTTGATTGCTTAGAGCCTCAGATCTATCTAAAATTTTCCCTTTCTATTTTGGAAAATGGTTTGATAGGATTGCAGCCCTATCAAAAAACCTCACCTCATGAGTTATTCAAAATTATAGCTACGCATTGAAAAATATTTACATCGATCATCTCGGTGTCAACATTAGGTTGTTAAAAATAAATAAAAAATTAAGCTCTAACAATATTGAACATTATAAAAAATTATCTAGACCATTTATTTCACCCTAAAAATGTGTCTATAGATCTGCAAGATTTGTACTATTATTTTAGTTTCAAATCTTATTGTTGATGTTGGAAATTGATTTTAGATCCATCGTGGATATTTCCATTACATAAAGTATTTTTTGGATTAGATTTTGAGGTGAGGCTTTATTTTGTTTTCATAAAACCTATGCTTTATATAAATTCATCCATTTCTGAATTGAACCGAGTCATTGACCGTACTCAATGTTGAAAAAAAAAAAAACTTTTTTTTAAATCGCGACAAATCCCAAACCATTAAATTTGACATCTAATGACATCTCTTTGTAACAATGACAAATGGTCTCGTAATATACAATCCCTTAATTTTCCCTCAATGTGTAATATATTGAAATGACTAGGAAATAGGTAAGTGCCAATCATTTTTATCTTTTCACTTTTGGGTAATCAAGTATATTTTTCAAAGAGCCCGGGTTGGTTAGTGCTTGATGATTTGCAACGCTAAGTCCTAAGCTCAATTCCTACCAAGGGTAGGGGCCCTCTCCCCATTGACTCACCCTCCAAAAAAGTAAAAATTAAAAAATAAATAAAATAATATATATATATATATTCAAATAGCCAATTAAAAAATAAATAAAATAATATATATATATATATATATTCAAATAGCCATAAATCCAGTCAATTTGCTTATTTATTTGTGAGAGGGTTAAAGGGAGTGACCATATTTATTTTGTCGATACTTAAACATGCTACTCTCGCAAGTCTCCCAGAACAATTTTGTCCGTCTATTATTAGCCCTCGTGTTTGGAAAATAAGCTATGAGATGGCTGCTATATCCAACATATCTCGCGGCAAAAGGTGCACATGATTAATGCTTCTAAGTTACGATTAACCATTCTGTCGATCCAAGCTCGCCCTTGCCATTGCCAAGGGCCAATAATTGCCAGATAGGGGTGGCAATGGACCTGACCAGACCTCGGACCCGACGGTTAGACCCGATATTGGGTTTGGGTATGAGTCTAAAATTTGGACCGAAATGCTATTCGGGTGCGAGTGCAAGCGGACCCGACCCATACCCCATAGTCATAGGATATATGATGGCAATCATGTGTTTTTAGGTGTGCGCTAAGTGTTTATATTGTCACAATATTGGCAATATTTATAGTATTATTGACACAAAAGAAAAAGAAGTTCATAGTCATATGATATATGATGATAAAAAAAATGGCAAGAAAAAAAAAACTCATAGTCATGGGGTGGCAATGGATCCGACCAAACTTAGGACCCGACAGGTTTGGGTATGGGTCAAAATTTTGGACCCGAAGCCAGATTAACAATAACAAAAAGTAAATACTTTAATAAAGGGAAGTTTGTAAAAAATAAATTATATACTATAAGACCATTTACCATTAGCATAAAGAGGTTACAGTCAATCATAGCCACTAGACGTCAAATTTGATGGCTCATGGGATATCGCTAAGTTCGAAACAAATATTTTTGAACTTCGAGTCTAGTCAATGATATATTTACAATCATCCGAGTTAAATTTGACGGACATGAGTAATGGTGACCTCCTTGTACTAAAAGTACATAGTATCTTTGTACACTTTTTCTATAAAAAATTTACCAAACCATCTTTTGATGGGATTTTTTAGTGGGAATACTGTGGAAATGTGTAAAATGTTAAATCAAACATCTCTTATAGGTGTTTTGGTAAATTTCCCATTTAAAAAAACCACATATACTCATATATGCATCAACAAATAACAAATTTCAGCTAGGGAACCTCAACATAAGTGTTTTCATTTTTTAAAATCTTGGCCCTAATTGGGCCTAGGCTCGCTCGAAGGGGCAGCTTTGGCCCTACCTGAGCCACCTATCCAGGGGCCGGGCGATGGCTAGGGTATGGGGAAGGCCTATAGGGGTATGGTTTAGTTGTGCCCTAGCATGCTGGAGAGATCCTTCTCTATTAAAACTTAATTACTAAAACTGGCTTAATTTATATGAGGCGTTTACGTTAAACAATCAAAATAAGGTGCACCTCTAAAATGTGTTGAAGTATGTATTTTTGGTGCTAGAAACCCCCACGATGACCTAAAAGTCTATTTTTGTTATTAACTACGAGATTGAATGCTAAAATATGAAAATAAATGGTTTAGATAGTGTGTCACAAGATACCATATTTTCATGACTTGAAATCACTTTTTTTATTTATTTATCTATACAATTGAGGTGCATTACAATAGGATTTTAAGATGAAAAGGAATTTATTTGCATAAGGTGTGAATCTTATGTAGAAGTAAGGTGCACATAAAAGTTTCCATCAAAAAAAGATATTTAGACATTGGAACAATTAATCATATGGACCTTGATATGTATGGAATTGAAAAAAAAAGAACGTTTCAAGTTTCAAAATTAGTGCATCTTGTAACATAGTATTTGGACCGTTTATTTTTTTGATCTAAGCCATTTTTGGAATTTAAAATTTTATAGTTATAGATAAAACAATTTTTTTTTTTTTTAAGTCATGAATTTTTAACCAAAAATACACCTTACAACAAAAATTGGAGATGCGTCTGACTTTAATTGTTGAGGGTTGCAACCTTATGCAACTACACCAACCCAAAAAATTTTTGAATGCAGAGGGCAAATGGGCCATATTTCAAATATCAGGGGCATTTCCCCATTTCAGGCAGAAATATATGAAGAGAGTGTGAACATTTTCGCCTATAAAATAAAATAAAATAAATAAAAACCAAAGCTCAAAATAACGTGGCTAGAGAAAATGGAGAAATTTATAAAACCCTTCAAAAATCTCAGCGTACATCAAAAGCCCATCTTATCCATGGCGCCAATGGAGGTCACTCAAGCTCTGGTTTTGGTTCTAGAGTGAGAAAATATGGATTCTTTCTCTCTCCTAAAATCTGCTACAAACCCAGTAATCATGGCCGTCCATGCATCCTCATGCCGGGTATTCTTTCTGAGATACCTTATTTTCTTACTCTACTCTAGTTCACACTTTTTTTTTTATCTTATTATACCAGGAATTCCATATAATTATACCTTTTTTTCTACTCCATTTTGAGTTTGTTTTCCTTCTAAGACTGCTGTTATTGTATACATTTTGAACAGATTTTCGGACATAGATTTTGCATGCATTGATGCAATAGAAAAGACCACTCAACTAGTTTGATTCATATTTTTTGAATGGACAAATATATTTGGATATTATCAAAGTAAAATTAGGTTTAATTGAGATTTAACAGCACATTTTATAGTTTATACTCTCCAATTCTCAACAAAATAGGGGAATTTGACAATGGAAAGGAATTCACAAAATTTGAGATAAAATATTGGTTGCCTGCGGTTATAGGAATGTTATTATACAAATGGTATATAATATCAGCAACCCAACTAGAAGTATAAGCACTATGCAGTGCTATGGAGTACACTTGACTGACAAATTAACAATATTATTTATACATTTTTTATTGCTTTTATATAGCCTAGACATTTAGGATTTGAACTGTGAACATTGGAGAACAGTGTTAAAACTTCTTCAATACTCATCTCTTTAATGCTCATGATCACACTTCATGAGGTGATAAGTATTTAATCGTTTGGAAAATGAGATTACTTCATGTAGCATCTGTTATGGGCTCATGCAACTGCTATGGCCTCATGAAAACCTATGTAACAGCTGTAACTCCTATACATAATGGGCCTCATGAAGTGGCTGTTATGGTGTTATGGGATCATGCCCATTAAGGCCTGCAACTCCTATCACCTCATGCCCATTAGAACCTACTGTAGCAACTATTGTAACTCCTTATGTAATGGTTGTCTTTCATTTTGCATGTTAACCTAGCCATAGTGTAACCTCCATGAGAAATATGTGTATTTATAGGGTACATTGCCCCACGATTTGAGAGACAGTAGACTTAGGTGGGCTGGGCATGTGCAGCACAAACCTAGTACAACACTTATTAGGAGTTACGAGTTGGTTTAAGTTGAAGGTTAAGAAAAGGCAAGGGGTAGACCCAAAAGGACATGGTTGGAAGTAGTGAGAAAAGATATGATGACTTATGGCTTCATTGAGGGTATGACCCTTGATAGAGCAGAATGGCAAACCGGGATTTGTGTAGCCGACCCCAAATAATTGGGAAAAGGCTATGATGATGATGATGATGATAATTGCCTATGTATTTACTTGTGCTTGAATATTACTCTCTTTCTCTCTCTTCTCTCCCAACATTAACACTTAAAAACGAAATACTCAAAGCATCAATTAGAATTAATGGATATGTGCATTCCTCTTGATTTCAGGCCATTTCGCAACGAACGTTTTCAACTTTTAGGTGTGCTAATGTTTTGACTATTCTACCTACTTCAAGGAGGTCTTTCAAGAAAAACTTTATTTTTCTTAAGGACAAGTCTCTCTCTACTTGTTCAAGTGAAGATTTTGGTTATACTTCAAAGCGAAGAGCTCGTGGACCTGTCATGGCTGCCAAAAAATTATCAGAAGGCATGTAACCTAAACCTTTTGAGCATTTCTTCGTTTGATTAATAGTATTCACATGCATCAATGTTGTTTAGTTTATAGAGCTCATTCTTCAAGGCCTCTCTTATTTGATGGTGTTGTATGCTTAAAATGGTCTTTAGGTGCACAGAAAGAGGATGGAAAATACAAGCACACGGTGGATTTACCAAAGACTTCATTTGGTTTGAGAGCAAATGCTGTGATGAGAGAGCCAGAAATACAAAAGTTGTGGGAGGATAATGAGGTCTTGAAGAGGGTTGTTGATAGAAATAACAGGGTGCGTTTTAAGTTATCCATCAACAAGTTCTTACATCAATAGTTTTCTCTGTTTTTTCTTGTCTAACTATTGCGTCTTAAGTTGTATGTGAATGAACATGAGAAACTTATTTGAAGTGCTTTGGCAGGGGAGTTTTGTTCTTCATGATGGTCCTCCTTATGCCAATGGTGATTTGCATATTGGCCATGCTTTGAACAAGATTCTAAAAGACATTGTTAATCGCTACAAGGTCTCTGTATCTCAACTCCCGTTTCTTTCTTTTTTCCATTTTATGTGTGCATCATTCACTTAATGGTGTATGTAGATTTTAACTTTTATAGTTCCTTTTATTGGAGAAGGGTGGAATATCTCATATCAAAATGGTTAAATTATTTACTTTGTTGTCCTTTTATTTTTTGTGAGCCGATTACTTTCTCATTGTTTTATGAGTCCATGATCTTATCAGAATTCTATTGTTGTTTTCCTTAGTATAGGTCATATAGGACTAGCCTTCTTGTTCATGTTTGTACCTTGTTTGATTTTACCTTCTTGTCTTTTGGAGAAATGACATTTTAGATCAATTTTCGTTGGGTTTTCTCCTTGTATATAGTATGTGAACCATAATCCAACCTCACATGTTTTAGGGCCATTTTCTTTGCATTTGCAGCTTCTTCAAGGTTACAAAGTCCATTCTGTGCCGGGGTGGGATTGCCACGGTCTACCTATTGAGCTTAAAGGTAAATACATTGTATTAAAGATTCACTTTGGATTTTGCATGATATTCCTGGAATTTATTACATCCAAGTTGTAACTAGAGGCTTTTTGGTATCCTCTGAAGCTCTTACCCTGCGATATGTTTTCTTTCTCTAGTAAGTTCTTTATAATATTTAATAAAGTGGGAGAAGGATCACATCCAGAGGACAGTTCTAGACATCAATTGAAGACTTTAGGCATCAATGGAAGCCTCTCCATGTAGTTTCAAACTAAAACCCCAAATCATCCATTGAAAAAGGACACTCTGAATCTTACTAAATTTGCATTAGTGAGACAGACAATTCCTTCTATTATTCTGATCCCTTGGACTCAAACAATATTTGCCTTTTGATCTCTTCAGCATTACATTACTTTCCATTTATAATACCGTCTATATAGAGCAATATAAGTTTAAAAACAATTACGGAATGTTACATATAAAAGCATGATCCTTTTTTTCTTCCACTATTATTTGGGAAAGAATTAGTTATAGAAAAGTCATCATCACTATCATTATCATCAGAGCCTTTTCCCAACTAATTGGGGTCGGCTACATGAATCTTGGTCCGCCATTATGCTCTATTAAGGGCCATGCTCTCAGTGAGGCCATAAGTCCCCATATCTTTCTCACTACTTCTACCCATGTCCATTTGGGCCTACCCCTTGCCTTTTTTGAGCCTTCAACTTGAACTAATTCACACCTCGTAACAGGTGTTGCACTGAATCTGCGCTACACATGGCCAGCGCACCTAAGTCTACTTTCTGTCATCTTATCGCCTATTGATGAGAGAAAGTAGACTTAGGTGACATTGCACATCAACCTCACAGCTTACAAAATCCAAACATCTATTTCTGCTTACCTCTCAACCATATTTGGATTTTCTTTCCACTTTACCCACCATCAGCCCCTCGGGTTGTTGGTCTTCGGAGGCATTAAGTACCAAGAAACCCGATCAACAGAAGCACCCCTCTTCACACCTCTGGTTTTAAGTTGTGTTTTTGGTTTCTTTACCCACCTTGTAAAGGATTTATACTAAGTATACTTACTTCCCCATCCCCCCCTTCCTTGTCCACCATGTTGGCATTCTATATACTTCAATTGTTACCCTTTATACAAAGGTAACAATTCTCAAAAAAAGAAAGAAAGTAGACTTAGGTGTGCTGGCCATGTGTAGCACAGAACCAGTACAACACCTGTTATGAGGTGTGAGTTAGTTCAAGTGGAAGGCTCAAAAAGGGCAAGGGGTAGACCCAAAAATAGAAATTTGCCTTGGTGCCTTATTTAAAGTAATATCATCATGCTTCAAGTGATTTACTCCTTTAGCAAGATGAGCATGTGATGTTAGCATGGGCCTTGGGTGCCTCCTTTATTTCATTATTAGTTTTATTTTTGTACTTAAGATAGCATTGCAAAACTCAAGGTATCACTCATGATCATATGTCTCTGAGCTTGAATTAGGCACACCAACGGTTTTTGTTTTTATTTTCTATAAGTAACACCAAGACTTGGATAGGTACTATGAATTGAAACATTTTTTGGGGGATGTACCTGGCACATCTGAATACTTCACTTGGTGGTCTAAAATGTGATCCCTGGAAGTTATTAAAAGGAGTCAATGAAGATTCTTCTTGGTAGATTGATCTTGGTTACATGATGTTCTATGTGCTATATACTGGCACAGGTATGTCATGCTTGTGGCCGGTCTATGATGTGGGACTGACTTGACTAAAGCTGAGATGCTTTTTTATTTTTCCCCTTTAAGGACCTTCCTTGAGACTGCGTGCCTCTCTGTCACATGTTCCAAATAAAGGAAAACTTTGAGTTGGGTTGTCTTGCTACTCCCGGCATTGCTGCGTTTGATAACTTTTCAATCCCTCCACAGATATATTAGAATCTGGACCATCTTCTAAATTGTTTTAAGTGGGAAAATAAATTGTCTATCATGTTTTCTAGAATCTCGGAATAGCTTTCACAGTGCAATCGGATGGTTGATAAGGCTTGCAAACTTGGATGGTAGCGTCAAGAGTTTTGTTATTGTTCCTTTTCTAATTATTCAAGAGCAAATTTATCTTGTTTGTGACTCTGTTGTAAGTTTATATTTTTTGCATATTAAAATGCATTCCTTGCATGTTAATGATGATTAATGATCTGGAGTGCAGTGCATGCAGATAGCTAGCATCTGCATCATGGCTTGGTTGATTGAACATCTCATTTTGTAAATGTATTTCATTTTAATAGGTATTCGTCTTTTTCAACTTTTGGTTGATCATCATGATTTATTGTTTCAGTTCTTCAGTCATTGGATCAAGATGCCAGGAAGGAGCTAACACCAATAAAATTGAGAAAGAAAGCTACCAAGTTTGCTAAAGACACTGTTGATGTTCAACGTAAATCTTTCAAGGTTTATACGGATTGCTTTGTGCATTGGTAATTTATTTGTTGTTTGGGAGATCACCTGGAAATATTTTCGCTCTTCTTATCTTGTCTCATCCATGAGAAGTTTGTTGGTTGTGTCTGTTTATTATTTTGTGCAAATTAACTTTTTTTTTTTTAAAATAAGCAAAAAACGGCATATTCCATTCCCAGAGAATAATTGCATTAACTTACATAATGCTAGAGTATGACTAATGCTTCCTTGTTCAATGCTTATAGCGTTATGGGGTATGGGGTGATTGGTCCAATCCTTATCTAACGCTTACTCCGGAATATGAAGCTGCCCAGGTAAAACTGCTTTACTTTTGGAATCTCAACCTCATATTCTGTTTAAAGTCCTTGGTGAAAATTGTGAAGGTGATATTTAGTGAACTCAGCACTGCTTAAACTGACTATTAATGCTTTCTGTTCTCTATAGATTGAAGTATTTGGCCAGATGGCTATGAAGGGATACATTTATAGGGGCCTGAAACCTGTTCACTGGAGTCCATCCTCATGTACTGCCCTTGCAGAGGCAGAGTTGGAGGTAAGCCTGCCTTATGCATATAGATTTGCTTATGCTCTACAAAAAGAAGACCTGAATAAATGGTCCTTGTTAATGTTTATGTGAAGTCTGTCACTGTCCTATTTCTTTGGTAAACAATACCTATGTGCTACACCATTTTTGAAATGGAGGAACCAAATCACGTGTCATGAGCTAGAGCTGCTAGACTCTTTATGTTTGAAATGGTGTAAGCAGATCATATCTAACTTGCATAGATCCGTCATTTCTTTCTAGTATGAGAGTGTGGTGGGCTTACGTTAGTGCCTTATCATAAACATATATTGAGTCAGATGTGACAATTGTGTTGTGTTTTATCACTTTTACAAGTTTAACTGCTGCTCGATTCTTAGTTGTGTAAGATCAATTTGTTGGTCATGATTTAGTAAACGCACTACTTATCCTTCCTATACACATAAATCATCTTGTATTTAGTTAATTTTGCATACCAAGATATACTAAATCTGATTTCATACTAAACTTATGCAATTTCCTTTGCAGTATCCAGATGGGCACATTTCCAAGAGCATATATGCCATTTTCAAAGTGGTCCATGTGCCTGAAAATGCATATGGCTTGTTTGGTGATTTTTTACCAAATTTGTCCTTGGTGATATGGACTACAACTCCCTGGACCATCCCAGGAAATGTTGGTAAGCTAAACTTTATTATTTCCAGTGATTCCATAATTATTTTTATTCTTTTTGGGACTTTTCATGAGCATAAATATTAATTGAACGAAGGCTTAGGGCATTGGAGTTCTCTGACATTGTTCACAGTAATATTTCAACCGTTGTTAACGGCTTTATATATATCAAGTTTCTTAAGTTCTAGCATCCTTGGGAAACAAGACATGTTTTGGGGTCTTGTACAACTTTGGCATGAAAGATTGGCATTTTGTTTCCTGAGGATGCATGCTGATCTGTCTGGGCTTTACTGCCCTCACCTGATCAGTATGTCCTGCATGGATATAAGCCTGGCATAAATTGAGGGCGCAATAGACACATTGTGTTAAAAGTGAGTACCTTGGTACTTTCTGAAGAGTAAGTAGGTTGATGAAAAGAGGTTAGTTGATGACAGCAATTGAATTTGGAACTTACCTGAAGAGCATGCATTGGAGCACGGCGATATGGGATGGCTAGAGAAAGTTACATGCATTGGAGCAGAAGTAGCGGACGGCAGATGCCTTAATTGCTCTTAGTCAAGGTTTTAAAGCTCGCCTTGGTCAAGGTACTCGGCTCTTGATTGAGGAGAGTTACTTGGTTGAGTTATGTACACCCCCAAAAATGTTAAAAATTAAAAAATAACTAAAAAAAGTTGAACATTTGTAAAAAAAAAAGAGAGTTAAAAATAAGAAAATAAAGCGATAACACAAATTATTAGAAGACTAAAGAAGATTAAAAAAATCATAAAAGATGGATTATTGAAAATTTGTTTATACCTTGAACATTTTAGAAAATTTAAAAAAAAAGGAAGAAATAACAAAGTTCCTAAATCATCTTAAAAACCATCAAAATCATCTAAAACACATTTCTAAATAATATATTGGTATTTTTGACTTTTTTATATTTTTAACTTTTTTTTTTTTGCTATTTTGTGTCCTTGGTGAGTTGGGCACCGCAACTCATGCCCAACTTGACTCGCCAATAGGGCGAGGGCGATTTACTTGGCCGAGTTTAAACTTAATAATCCTTGGAGGCTGCACTGTAAGTGCTTAATGAAGTGAATGGGGAAGTTGTAATAATAGATAAATTGGAAGATAGTTAATGGTATCCCTCTGATGGGAACCATGGCCAAGGAGAGAGACTAAGATCGTAAGGCTTATAACATAGTGTTATATACCTTTTGATATTATATCCTATTAGATGTATTATAATAATAATTATATATAATATTATATATAATTATTATATATTATATATAATCATTGATATTATAATAATATATTATATAATATTAATAAATTATATAATATAAGATTTCTATTATAATATATAAATTAATTATGGGTTATGGGTTACTCAGGCATATGAGTATTTCCTTAACGTACTTAACATTTTTGGATATTCATTGTCTCTTGTTTTGTAATTTAAATTTTTGAGTAAGGGCATTTCATCATTAGGAGGGGTAAGATAGATATTTCTATAAGCAACCTCCACTGTAGTTAATAAATGCTTATTTTTTATCAAGAATTTTTACTTTATCCTTAATTAATTACCTAAAATACCCTTAGACAAGAAAGTTACTGCATGGTAGGGTAAGGGTATCAATGTCCAAACATATTGAGTACCTTAAAGAAATACTCGTATGTATGAGTGCCCTAACCTAACCCATTAATTATATATATCATAACATATAAGTAATTATGGTTAAAATATATAATTATTATAATTATTATAATTATATAATTATTATAACTATATAAAACTATTATAATTGTTATATATAATTATGGCATATAATTAATATGTTAATTGTATAATTTATATTATATATTATAACATATAATTAATTGTAAGGGAGATGAGGATGTTGAGAAGGATGAGTGGCAAGACAAGATGGGATAAAATTCGAAATGAATGCATTCAGGAAAATTTAGTGTGTTGCAGATCCAACACAAGATTTGTTAGGAAGTACGAGTTAGTTCAAGTGGAAGTCTCAAAAGGGGCAAGGGGGCCCAAAAGGATATGGTTGGAAGTAGTGAGAAAAGATATAGAGACTTACAGCCTCACTGAGCGTATGGCCCTTAATTTTGCAAAATGGTGGATCAGGATTCATGTAGCCGACCACAATTAGTTGGGAAAAGGCTGTGACGATGATGAATTAATATAATATATATTATTTATAATTCAAATTTATTAATTACTATGTATTAATTATTGTAATTATTACAACTCTAGGGTTTGAGGTCCTTTTTTTGGGGTGTCTCAACCCACTTTGTAAAATATAACTTACCCCAAGTTTTTGGGGCTTGTGGCTCTCTTCCAATCTCCCGGAAATGTTTAATTCCACCTATTTTGGTGGAATTGACATTTCTACAAAAAAGCCTTAAAACGTGGAAATTGGTCTCCACACAGAAATGGGACTCCGGTCTGGGAGGGCATCCAAAGAGCATTTATGAGCGGGCCTTCAGGGAGCAAAGACTATATGGCATGACCTTACCTGTAAGGGTTCATCAATTTCTCTTATGAAGAGTATTGGGCCTGAAAGCAACATACAACACTATATTTGGAGGAAGTTCATCATTGCAAACTGTTTGGTAGAAACTGTCGCATGATTAGGGCTTGCGACACACACATAACAATGGTGGATCACAAGCCAAATTCCAAAAGCTGAAGTGGATAAGGAGAAGCATCCTGCAATGCAATATTAGTATGAATTAGCTAACTAATGAAATAGACTACAGTGGAAAGGCCACATTCCATAAATTTGAGGATACTTGCTGTTAAACATGAGAGTCAATCTGATGTGAGGAAAGTGCCTTGGAAATTAAACTTCTCCCAATGTCACACTGGAATAGTTTTGTTTCTAACCCACCATGCCTCAAAGTTTGTCACACATACTCTATTGGCCCATTTTATGTCCTTGACTCACCTAGGAATACCGCTATTATATTTTTTTTGGTGAGTGACTACGATTACAATGAAAGATGGTACATAGATTAGCTGCTTAAAGGACGATCACTTTATTTGTATGAGCTGTAGACATCACTACTCAAGACCATCACAGTACCCCAAACACATAAGGCTTCTTGCTATCTTGTGTAGCATGTCCTTTATAATGGAATCGACAATCTCATTATCCATGCTTCCCACATGTTGAGTTACATCTAAAATGTAATATTTTATTAAAACTTCCTCTATGACATGGAGCATAGACTGACAAGTCTTTTTGTTGTACAGCTGTTTCAGTGAATGCTGAACTTCTCTATGCGGTCATTGAAGTTACCTCTCTCACAGAAGGAGGGTCTACATCACAAGGGAGCAGCAAACTGGGAAAAATTATGAGATGTGGAAAGAAGGTGCCTTATCTCATTGTAGCGACAGAGCGTGTACCGGCACTACAGTCAATGTGGAATGCAAAAATTGAAGTCAAGAAGACCTTCCGCGGTTCAGAACTAGAAAACTGCAGGTTGTATAAGGACTAACAAAATGTGAACCCTACAAATACTTCCAAATGTATTTTTGATATTAATTTGTTGGTTATTTCTAGTTGGATGGGGTTTTGCGTTTCTTCCAAATGTGTTCTCGTTCTAAACATCCATCTTGGAGGTGGCAATTGGACCTAAATATCCACAGGTCAATAAACTCAACCGTCGCCATTACGAATCCAGGAAAAAAAAAAGGATTTTGGACCTAAAAAATAGAAAGTTTATTTATGGAATGTTTATTTTAATTATTCTTAGATCATCATAAGATTCATATCTGCACTATTTTTTGAGCAGCAAAATCATGGATCTAAAGCAGAAATGCATCTAGAGTGAGTAAGGAGGTGTTACCTTCAGATCCTAAATCCATCTCTTCGATGAAATTTTGGAAGGGAGCAAGGGACCGCATTTGAATATGACCACATTTAAACTTTTTGCTTTCTAGATTAGATTTCATGAGCAGCTAAGATTGTCAAATTAATGTTTCTTTATGGTATTTTATCGTTTCACTAAGATCTGATATGGAACCTGATCTTTATAAACTACATGACAGGTATGTTCATCCAGTGGATGGCAGGGAAAACCCTGTTGTTCTTGGTGGAGATTATATTACCGCTGAGTCAGGAACCGGACTTGTCCATACTGCTCCTGGTCATGGTCCAGAAGATTATGCAACTGGCTTGAAATATGGATTGCCTGTACTTTCTCCTGTGGATGACAATGGAATATTCACTGAAGAAGCTGGTCGGTTTAGTGGCCTAGATGTTTTAGGAGAAGGAACAGTTGCTATTGCAAATTACTTAGATGATCAAATGTCAATCCTTTTAGAAGAATCATATGGTAAGTTTCACTATTTTGAATGATAAGGGTCTTTAGCTAGGACGGTTTGTGATATTTCATTATCTGCAGAAGGTTTATGAAGCTTATGGGTTTTGGTTGTTTAATTCTAGATGAGTATATCTTCTTGTAACTGCAGAACACAAGTATCCTTACGACTGGAGAACAAAGAAACCTACTATATTTCGGGCGACTGAGCAATGGTTTGCTTCTGTAGAAGGTTTTAGGCAAGCGACTATGGATGCCATCAACCAAATAACATGGATTCCAGAACAGGTAAGCCAGGCTGGGTTTGACTTTGGCGAGCAGCAGCGATAATAATAATAATAGTAGTAGTAATAATAATAATAATAATAATAATAATAATAATAATAATAATAATAATAATAATAATAATAATAATAATAATAATAATAATAATAATAATAATAATAATAATAATAATAATAATAATAATAATAATAATAATAATATAATAATA